TACAAACCTCAAGGAAAAGAAAATCCAAATAATTTTGTATAGTATGTACTAGGTACTGACAGTATCCACGATAAGCTCAGAAAAGGGTATTATCACGCTAACAAAATGAATCATGATAACTAAAATACTGTCATATTGCCCACCTCTACTGCGAAGGAACTTCTGACCTGCACACACGTTACGGATTGATGCCAGTGAGCAGATCACAGCAGTAGTACAAATGCTTATTGGGAAATCATATTCCCATTTCCCTTCAATCCTTGAAGGGGAAATGGGAATATGTTGTGCTGGCTCCAAATGCGGTTCATTTAAAGCTGATTTATTTGTCAAACAGAACTGCCTTTACCAAAGTAAAATATTTTAGATAGATTTCCAATAGTACTGAATAATCTAGGCACCTATGTCAGAGTTAGGTTAGGTAGAGTAAGGATCAGGTATTGGAATCGAAAGGGTAAAACTGGTATCAGGGCATCCTTGTTAAGTTCAATGTGTAGGAAACTTAATATCAAACCAAGTGGCATTATTTATTTTATGCAGACCATTCCAAGACTGTAATTTTCTTTATGGCAAAATGCAGCTGGCGTGTTTCAGATCGTTATTGTTTGATCACTTTCTTTGCAGACGTCTGCAGGTTTGCACCCAAAAAGCGTTTTTTACAGATTGATTCCATCAGTGAACACACCAACACCACTTCAAGAAAAACTGCCTACTTTCACGTTTCCACCGTAGTACTCTGGTAGATTTTTTCATACAAAGAGTTTACCAGCAGTTTATCAAATAGAGAATATCTTTTTTTTTAAATAGAAATATAATTTTGTGAAGTAACCTAAAGAATGTCAATAAAATTCACCAGTAGGTAAATGGATAAAGTATCCAAATACTTTCCTGGCCCACTGTATGTATAGAGCAGAGTGTTGAAATGTTTGAGGGTGCTAATCTACTGTTAGATGCTCATTTTTAAGTAAAGTGCTCCAATTAAAAATAGCTCTTTTTAAGTTTAGTTGTTTTTAAGGAAGGAAAAACTGGTTGGCACTGGCCAATTTTCAAGGTTTCAATGTCTGTATCCATATTTCAAAAAAGGAAAAGTGGTGTTGTGTCATCTCTGGTGAGGCTGCCTATAGTTGACGAATGAAAGTTGATTTTGAATTTAGTAGGTTAGTGTGAATGTTCATGTTTTGAAAGGAACTTTGAAGTGTCCATTTTAAATGATCTCAGAGATATCACTATGAATCATAACGAAAACCTCTAGCAGGGAGACGCTGTCATCTCTTGTTTCAAGCCAAGACATTTTTTTTTAACTTCTGTGTCGCTGCTGTCATGCAGTCCAGTCACGCACAAAGTCCTGACAGGTCATATTGCAGCAAACTGCTTGGCAAAACTCACTGTGCCGTCCATAAAAGCCACTTCCTGATTGCAGTAAAAATAATTTATATACCTTGATACACTCACAGTCCACTTTATAAGAAACACCTAGTTTATGCTTCCACTCACTGGCCAGTGGGTGAAGTTCATCTACCTTGTAGTTCTGCTATACAGTTAAAGACTGTGGCCAGTTACAAACTCTACATCAGCAAGGTGAAGCTGCAAGGTAGATATTTCTAATGAAGTAGCCATAGAGTGTATTGAACGGCATAACTACTAATATACTAGGTTATGGTTGACATTTGAATCAACAAATCTCATGACCCAATGAGACCAAGTGCTGCCTCACTATGTTGGTGAGGCAGGGTGCCTCAGCAACATGCCAAAAAGTAGAAATATTTGTTGCATTGACTTCATTGCTAGACAAAAAAGAGGTAAGCTCACAAGAACTGGCAACAATCTTCATCAGGTCAGCAAATGTTAGACCGATTGAACGATTGGCTTTTTGATCAGCATAGCATGACTGGTGATTTCATGATGGTTACTGTGTTAAATTACAGCTGTCTGCCAAAAATAGACAGTCTATTACTGACTGAGATTCTCTACTACTGTTCGAACTGCATTAGTTATATATGAGGCGATGAGGTGATTAAATTATTACCAGTGTTTCTCAGTGATTTTAGTCCAGGATAAATTTGCCATGTTGACAGTTTTATGGAATGCATGCTTCCTTTGTATCCTTTGGAAAATGAGTTTTTGCGTGAGTTTTACATATTCTCTATGTCTCTAATGAAGCCAGTATGTATTGTTTTACCTCAGATATGTGTCTCCAAACATTGAACCGTGTCAAATGACAGAAAAAGGTTTGATTTTGTGTGGCGATGTTGACTGTTGCCTGTTAATTCCCATGACACACTGTGTTCACTTAAGACAGCTAATTAGATGGTTAGGATAAACAAAATTACAATAAAATGAAATATGTGAACATTTTATAAGTGTGAGCAGACAAATGTATTGTTCATGGAACAGTAAATGGAGAAGCTAACACAATGTTTTCTAGTTAAAAAATTGTGATTATCAGTTTTTAGTCCATTCCAGTTGACCTGTAGGTCTAAGCTGTTTTTATCTAGGACAGAAATGAAAAAAGTCAGAAACGATAGCTCATCTGCTACTGCACAGTTTGTGTTGGTCATCCTCTAGTCCTTCATCAGTGGTCCCAGGACACTGCCCACAGGACGCTGTTGGCTGGATATTTTTGGTTGGTGGACTATTCTCAGTCCAGCAGTGACACTGAGGTGTTTAAAAACTCCAGCAGCACTGCTGTGTCTGATCCACTCAGACCAGCACAACACACACTAACACACCACCACCACGTCAGTGTCACTGCAGTGCTGAGAATGATCCACCACCCAAATAATACCTGCTCTGTGGTGGTCCTGTAGGAGTCCTGACCATTGAAGACCAGGGTGAAGGGGGGCTAAAAAGTATGCAGAGAAAAAAATGGATTACACTTCGTAATTGTAGAGCTACAAAGTGCACCTATATGATAAGTGGAGCTGATGAAATGGACAGTGAGTGTAGAACCAAGGAGGTCTGCTGAATGAAGTGGTCTGTCTGTGAATGGCTGGTTTATTTCTCACTTACCAAACTGCAGTTATCATTTATTCATTCACATCCATCAGAAAAATTCTAACAACCTACAGTCATGACAAGGTTTACTAACTGAAACTCAAAATGACCTGCTGATTAACTGAAAAGTTAAAAAAGGGAAGTAAAAGTGCTGAAACATTAGCGACAAATGTTAGTGTCTCTTTGCTTCATGTAGGTTAATATTTAGTATTTCGTTTAGGTTAGTATTTTGTTGCATATCCCTTCTTTTGGATGGCTGCTAGGCATGATGGAGTGCACAACTGATGCTCATCCAGGCTTATTGGAGTTTGACTTTAGGATGGCCAGAGTGTGGCAGTTGGTCTTTTTCTATGATTTTAGTACATTCTTCACATTTGGTTCTGTAATTTTCTGTGTATTTGTAATCTTTTGCAGAGATGTTTTTATTACAATATTTTATAGACATTTTTTGACAGATTAATTCAACTTAATATTCAAGGTTTCTAAAGCAATATCTTTCAGATTATTAATGAAATTAGGTCAGGTGTGTTAGATGGTGGCTTTCCAGGAGTAGAAGTTGAGATCTCTGGTTTGAACATGACGTGTCTGCATTTGGATTAATGTCCCAACATTTTGTTTTTTAGGTGGCGTTAGGTGAAAGTGTTGCCTATTGTTCAGTTGGACTCCAGATTGAGTGCGTTTACATGCACTTAATAATCCAGTAACTGCAGAAATTCAGATTTTGTCAGTAATCCGATCAACGCATTTACATGCACTTGAGTAATCAGATAATGTGAAAACTCTGGGTCTACATGAGTCAGGCAGTAATTGGATTTCTGCTTTGCAGCCAGCCAGTACACTCAGTTTAGAGAAGACGATGTGACGTAAACCTCGTGTAAAACTCAAACTTCATGCTGTGGCTTTTTAAAAAAAAACATCGCTCCACTTTACCTGAAAATATAGATATACTTCATCTAGAAGATGAAGAATATTTTAATTCTTCATTTCGTCAGGAATGTGGTTGGTTTCAGCGTCACTCTAAAAGTGTTTTGCAGCCATCTCACAGCGACACTGCTTGCTTATTTTCCCGCACAGCATTCTGTGCAGACCGAGAAATATGAAAGAAATCAGAGTAAGAGTACATGCACTAAGAAATCTGATTACTGAGCTAAAATCTAGGTCTCTTTATCGGATTTTTTAATCGAATTTCTAGATTGGAGAATGGTGTTTACATAACCATTTGAATAATTGGATAACTGCAGAAATCAGATTATGACGAGAAGTTATAATATAGTTGAAACAATGCACTTTTGAATATGGTAAAGCATAATTCGCATTAAAAATTAACAAACTAAATAATTCTAAAATAAATACTTCATGATGTAGGAAGCTTTTTATTTGCAATTTTCTAAAACACCATTCATAATTCCAGTAAAAAAATGGCATACACGGTGTCTTTATTTGGGCATGTCACTGACAAAAATTACACACAGATGGAGATCAGAATACAAAAGTTCCAAAAGGGTTCTGAAAAAGGCTTTTTAGGGCCACTGTCAGTGATCTTTAAATAATATTGAATAAGTCATGTCTGCTGTGTGTGCGTGATTGTGCGAGTCTTTCCGTGTTCGTCTGGATGAGTGGGAGCAGTGTGACAGAGGTCACGCAGAGCCACAGGCAGCGTTTGAACTCAGCAGGGAGGTGAAGTGTAAACTAATGAACTGACCTAATGTCCAGCGCACTGCATCTCTAACCTCCACAAGACAGTCTGACCCAAACTGACCACACAGACCCTCCCTGCCTCAGTCACTGAGACTTTTGATCTTTATCTGTATTACACAGGTAAAGAATATGGCATGATATTGTACTGGAACACATTCCAGCTTTAAAGTGGTGAACATTGTGTCTGTTGAGCTGCCTTTCTCTGTGTATCTTGAGTGTTGTGTGTGTTTGTGATTTTGCATCTAGGCAGAGTGTATAAATTACTGTTGTTTCAGTGGTAATCTGAGTGCACCTTTGATGTCCCCCCATAGCCTGAGAACCTGCTCCTTGCCAGCAAATGCAAGAATGCAGCAGTGAAGTTAGCCGATTTCGGTCTGGCCATTGAAGTGCAAGGGGACCAGCAGGCCTGGTTTGGTATGTAGCCGCTTTAGAAGGTTTAGCCAGACTAGAATGACCAAATACATTGTCACTCAAGACTGGAAACACCATTCACGAGTTCACAATCCATTTTTCAGTAGTATAGCAATAACTGTTGAATATATAATATATAATAAATTGCATACATTCCATTATTAGTAAGAGGCTTGAAATCTGTAAAAAAAAATAAAAGAAATTTGTGTGTGTGCAGAGTGATGAATGGGAGCTGTTTAAGTTATAATAAAATTAAAATGCCTCATATTTCAAAATTGGTGATTAAATCTTTAGGCAGATAAGATTATTATGACATAATCTTGTGATGTATTGTTTATTACAACTTCTTGTTATGCTCAAAATACCTAAAGTATTGCATAAAACATGTAAAAATACCTTTTGGTGTCTAATGTGTAAGGCTTATATCTGTCATTGTGCACCAACTAACACAAAACCTGGAAATCTCAGAGATTTCCATGAAGAAATTTAAGCCAAAACTTAATTGAATTGTGCTCCAAATTGTTTTTAGTCATAGATTTTTATACAGCAAGTTCAAAAGTCTGAAAAGAGTATATCTAGTTTGATGCTGATGTATCGGACAGTATTTGTGCCACATTAACAGTATGAACAGGCCTCAAAATGTTGGAGGTTTAATATAAGGAGTGATTTCAAACTGATAAACGGTATTGTACATGTTGAATCACGCTTAAAAATTCTTTTCATGTCTTGATGTGCAGGATTTGCTGGAACACCAGGGTACCTGTCTCCTGAGGTGCTGAGGAAAGAGGCTTATGGGAAACCCGTGGACATTTGGGCTTGTGGTGAGTCAGACGTTCCCTTTGGCTTTGTTATCTCTCTCTCTGACTCTCTCTTTGGCTCTCTTGCTCCCTCTCCCACATATCACTGCAGCATAGATGCATCAAACCAAGGCAGACTGGAGAGCTCTTCTGTTTCAGGCTCTCCAGAAAGGCTTTGTTTGAGTGCAGCTTTTGCTCCTCTTAACAGTGACTACAGTATGTACTTCCTTAAGCACAAATTTGCCCCCTTTTTCTTCGGGGAGATTCCCTAGAGTGTTTGTTTTTGGTGGGAGTCATTATTTTTGTTATAATTCAAATTTAAATCTTTATTTTTTATTTCATTAAAGCTATATCTTTATTTATTGGCATGGCCATTTTAAGTTACAGTGTTGTGGAAGCTTTCGGATCTGTTCATCACATATCAGTCAGTCTGAATGTAGTCAATATTTCATAATGATCTTAAGATATAGTGTTGCCTAAGCATTTAAACCTGTATATTGTACATCAATCAGCCTTACGTTCAGTCTTTATTTATAAATTAGGTTATTTTGACTGTGTATATAGATACGTATTTTATCAATGTGCATTTGGGCTTTCTGTGAGCAGACCTTCATAGTAGGGCTGTAACAATACATTATATGTTAGTATGTGGTATTTTATTGAACTGCAATAATGGCATGTTAGCTTGCGGCTAGGATGTTAGCTTGGGGCTACCATAATGTTTTGTGGTTACAGCATTAGATTGAGGCACTCTAATGTTGAATGCTCTAATAAACTGAAAATGGAAGCATTAAGACAAATCACATTTTCAGGCACTCCTGATTTCTGCTGTACTGGAAATTGTTTCGAATTAAGACCCCACTGTATTGTATTGAATAGTAGATTGTTAATGAATTGTTACACTCCTACAACACTACATAACCTTTCCTCAAGATGTGGTGCTTTTGATTAATTTTTTCCTTCCCCTAAAAACCTTTCCAGTTTTTTTCTTTTTCAGGGTGATTCATGAATTGTTTACCTCAGATATTCTTGTATCTTTGACCGTATGCAATCTGTCCCACAGTGACCACATAACCTTTACATCTTCAGAATCTGTATGCTTGATTGATTTTCAAATGACTGGTTTTTACCACTGTTGGGAGTTGACTGTGACTGCTTGTTAGGTGGTCAGCCTTTTTTATTTCTTAAAATTCCATTATTTCTTAAGATTCCCTGGTTTAAAATGTCTGTGCAGGGGTCATACTCTACATTCTGCTGGTGGGCTACCCTCCTTTCTGGGACGAGGACCAGCACAAACTTTACCAGCAGATCAAAGCCGGAGCCTATGACGTAAGGGCTATACAATTCATCCTGATACTTCTTCAGCTTGCGCACAACTTGTACTTAAACACTCATTTACTTAAACTATACTATTAACTGCTGTTTTGCAGTTTCCTTCTCCAGAGTGGGACACAGTCACCCCTGAAGCCAAGAACCTCATTAACCAGATGCTCACCATCAACCCAGCCAAAAGGATCACTGCACAGGAAGCACTTAAACACCCATGGGTCTGCGTAAGTTGTCCCACCTTTAGCCATACAGCAGTTTTATATACCTTTTACTCAGCACATACAGAGGAACATAATCAGAAAAGTGTAAGGGTCTTTAACACTTCAAAATCAAGGCTACTGATATTAGCATTTGCTTGTATTTTAATAATTTTAAGCTAGAAATAATTTTTGGTTCCATTTTTCTGTATGAATTACAGCACTGTGCAAAAGAGACCACCCTTTGATTTTTTAATTTCCAGTCAAATCGCCATTAAATACAAGTTATTCATTTTTCAGGAGGTATTTCTAAGGTGATTAAATATAAGATGCTCCACTTGCATGCGTGGGGTGGGGGGGGATCAGAGGAAAATGAGGAAAAAACAGGAGTTTCCAAAACTGATATAGGGAAAATGAGACTCCTACCAACTGTGCAATACCTGGTAGACCACCAAAACTGTCACCGTCAGATAAACAGTACTTAAAGTCTTCATCTTTGAGACATTGGAAAAAATTTGCACTAAACCACCAAAACTGGACATCTGAGATGTGGAGTAAGGTTTTATGGACTGATGAGTCTACATTTGTAATTGAGAAGCAGAAAACGCAACAAACTTCTAAGACTGAACTTTGAGGGCAGATCCTACAGATTTCTCCTGAAAAGAATGGAAGCTGTAAGACAAAGGGTAGACACAGTGGATACTGAAACAGTGTATTCAGTTGTTGAGGCTTCTGTGTAATTGTCTGGGAAATATATTTTTCATCTTTTTTTCTGACACTGAAAAATGAATAACTTATACCTAATGGCCATTTGACTACAAATTAAATAAATTAAGGGAGCTCTCTGACTTTTGCATAGTAGGCTACTGTGTTTTCAAAGCGACAGCTTCTCATAGTCAATCTAATTATGCATGTGGTAAATAGACTACGGTAGAAAATATTTAATGTGTTAAAATTAGAAGACTGTATTTAAAAATAGCCAGCTATAGTTAAAAATATCTCCTCTGGGTCCAGACTATTTCTGTGTACCTTTGACTAACCACATAATAAGGGGACTAGTATGTTTTATCTGTTGAAACTAGTGGCTTATTTTACCTTCATACTTCTATGCTATACACAGTCCATAACTAACTGGACAGTGCTTCAGTTTTTATTGTATTGGCTCTGTACCCTAGCACAGTAGATTTGAAGTGATATAATGAGAAGGTTCAAGTGCAGAATGATGTAATTCAAAGGTTTTTCTATCTGTATTGAGTGAACCATACAGGAATTACAGCTGTTTTTATATACAGGCTTCTTCATTTCAGTGGGCTCTAAGTAATTGGCTAAATTAATATACTCTTAAATAAAACTGCCATGTTTACTACTTGGATGGAAATCCAACGACTGCCTGAAATCTGTGACCCACTGATATCACCAGATGCTGGGTGTCCTCACTGGGGATGCTCTGCCAGGGCAGTAATGCAGCTCTATTCAGTTCCTGCTTGTTTCAGGAGCTTTTTACCTTTAATTTGGCTTTGTTGTGTGAAGTACATTCTCAGGGGTGTTCATGTCAGGGCAGTAAAGGTTGATTTGACGTTTTGGCCCTTAGACACTCCACGGCTTTAGTAGTGTGTTTGGAGTATTTGTCCCTCTGTTAAGGTAAAGCTATGTCCAAAAGCTTTACCTTCATCTTAAAGGGGAAAAATTATGCATAATTTACTCATTTAGTTGCAAACAAAGTCATTCAGAGTGGTTTGATGTGAAATGTGTTTATGTATCGGCATTGCAGATATGTAAAGAAAAATATAAGGTACCAGCATCGGCCCAGAATTTCTATATCCCATAAAATATGTCTCAAGCATTAGACAGAGTATTCTTAACCATTTCGTGTCATATGTGAGGTAGCTTTTTAAAGGCATTAAGCGCTTCAGACATCTGGTTCCTATTACCAGTGCTGTGAACAATTCTGACTTGGTTAAGTGTTTTCAAACCACTTTCAATTGCTTTGTTCACACCTTAATGGTTGAATTATGCAGAAATTTAGAAGAAGTAAGTGTGAGAAGAAAAATGTGTAAACAGGTAAGATAATTCCGTGCACTTCAGCATTCTTGCTTCTGTTCTCAGTCCAGCTGGACATGCCACCAAGCTTCATGAGCAGTTTTACCTCTTTCCAAAACTTAAGTTTAGATTATTGTTCATCTCCTCTTTTTTAAGTAAATCTTCACAGTGGAACTATAGGCTTAAATCTGTGCTTGTTTTATTTTCTTAACAACCTATAATTAATGCATTCTGTTATTGTAGCTTAACAGTAGTTTGCATCTTGTGGTAAACCCTCATATTATTGCCTACATGCTGGATTTGTGATCTTAACAACAGATTTTTGTCATGCTCAAAAACAGACAGCAGGGCTGCAAAAAACGAATATTTTGATATTCAGTTATTTATGTGAATTGACAAATGATCAATCTGCTTAAATGTGGCCTGTAAATGTGAAGAGCTGTTGCAATAAAATGTCAATGTTTTGACAAACTGAGGTGTTGTTCACTAAAATCTAAATTACCACCACAGAAAAAAGTGCAGTGAGTAATAAGCAATAGCTAAAATAAGTGAAATAATATTAATTAGATTAACGTTATAGCTCTTCAGGCTGCAACACCATTTAACCGGTTTAACATTTTAAAATGCTAGATGAGTTCACTAGATGAGTTTCATGAGTTTGAAACGGCTTCCAGGGTAATAAGTGGCCTTTTTTTCATGTGAAAACTTTGTTTACAAGAAGTTAATTAGTAGGGATGCATCCATACCTTTATCAACAGATTTTCGTCATGCTCAAAAATGACAGCAGGGCTGCAAACGCATCCATACCATACCTTTTTTTCAGACCGAGTATGAGTAGGAGAACATGTTTTTAGTATTCGTTGATACCGATTTCGATACCATACTGGGTTACCTTGGATAGAGTAGCGCCGCAGTAGTTTTTGTTCCATATTAGAAAAACGCTTCTGTACAGCTGAAAGTAAAGTATATTTCATAGTTTTGATCCTCAGTCAGTATCTTTTAACAGCAGTCTCTGTAGCACAGAGACAACAAGGATTTTAGGTCTTGTTGGAGTCTTCTTGGCTGGTTGAGCGGTATTTGAATGTCCTCTAAAGCTAGTCATACACTGTGCAATTATTATTTGTTCTTTGGTGACTCATTTGGTGACAAGCTGCATGAAACATAGCCCCTACAGAAATTCAAAACAACACGCTGTGCACTGAGTATTGAACAGAATAGCTGAGAAACTGTCCTATAGCAGCTTTGCGAACCTGTGACACACTGACCACTGAAACTAAACTAGGCACTGATGTAGACAGTAGGACAGTACGGTCTCTCTACAGCCTATATTTTACAAAGACAGTTTAAAAAATCACCATATTAACATTTACACTGTGCAGTTCTTTTCAGTAAATCAGCATATATGGACTTTAGTACCACAAATGTTGACTTTTTTCACCTTCGTTTTGCTAGCCTAGTGAACTGAATTGCTTGTCCTAGTTCAAAGTTGGCTTCCTGTTCACCAGCTTCTTACAAATTTTCTGTTCCACTTTAATTGGTGCAGCAGTTACGTACTGAAACCTGTAAGAAGCTAACTTTAGCTTCATCCATTTCCTCTCTCTTCTGCTGTTTCAGAATCAACACCAGCTTGTTTTCTTTTCTGGTGGTTGAATATGTTGTTTGTGACCACTGCATGCTCCCTGACTTTACATCTTTTTAAACTTCTAGCCATATTTGTTACCTCTCTGTCTTACCTCTGTGAGAGTCTGCTCACATAGGTAAGACGCTACAAGTGAACTGCTGCCCTTTTCAGGTGAAGTCGTTAACTTACTCTATGTTACTTTGAAAATGTAAATGAAAAATCAGCAGCATTAATATCTATCTATGATTTTTTTCTTGTTGACAGTATTGACAATGTCAAATAATTGTTTCAGCCCTAGTAGAGAGTGTTACTGAAGGCCTATTGAGTGTGTAAAGAAGGTGATCAGTTCAAAGTGGCTCAAAAGTACAATTTCTGTGATTTCTATGGCACTGTTTTAGAAATTGAAAAGCTTTTTGGGGAGAGTTTTGTCCATAGCCATGATACAATAAAGCATTTGGAATTTCTAGAAGACAGCTGTGGAAATCCGTGTATATATATATTACTTCCTTCATATCTGAATGTATTCTGTTGGCAATGGCCCTCCATTGTCAGCTCAGGTTTTTTGCTATTGCAGAGCTCAACAGAGTCTTTATGCTTTTTAGAAATGTACCAAACCCTTCATTTTGACACATTTGTTCTGTCTCTTGATTGCTGTATTGACGTTCTTTGGTCTGAATGTTAATCGGATCAAATGCCTCGTCTAGAATCCACTTCAGCCCCTTTGTTAGTTTCCTTGTGCTGAGCTAATGATGCTTTGGCACACAGCTGGCAAAGAAAGAACCGAGCCGCTAATTGTCGTCTCCTTGAATGGGGAGCTGTGATTCTTGTCTGGATCTCTTGCTGCTGATATAAATACCTCCAAATGAAAGCTGACATACACTTTAACCTCATAGTGATTAATCAATTCAATACAGAGCCAGAAATGTCACTGTCCAATTGATAGACCAGTATGGGCAATATGTGTAGTGTATAACATTATGGAAATTTGGCAAAACAGTAACGCAGCATTAAAATGTTCTTGCATAACATTAACACAACTTGTAGCTGGTATGTTTCTAATTCTGTCTTTCTGTCTCACAGCAACGCTCCACTGTGGCCTCCATGATGCACAGACAAGAGACAGTAGAGTGCCTGAAGAAGTTCAACGCGAGGAGGAAACTGAAGGTTTGAGAGTCTCTACTGAAACAGATAATAGGGATTGGATCTAATAGGGATTAAGAGTGTGAATCTCTAGGCACCTCATGATTTCAATTCAGGGTGCCAGTATGCAATCATGAAACAATTTCAGTGCATCTCAGTGCATCTTTATTTCTGATTTCCACAGCCTACATTAAGATTTTTCCCGTGTTTGTCGTTAACAAGTAGCGCTAACGTAAATTTGAATGTAGTCTACGCTCATTTGTTAACTCTAAAGGCCACAGGCTCATGTTTACTGTGGTTTTGACCTTTTATTTCATATACATGACAATTATGCCCAATTTGTGACGGCAAACAATCTTGCATTGTTTTCCTCCTCCAAGGCAGGCTGTGCCAAAGTATCCTACTTCATAATGTATCTGGGTGAGCATGAGTTGATTTTACAGAAGAAGAAAGGCAGAGTCTATATATAAATTTGGTTACAGTAGTCACCTTTTTACATGTCAGCATTTTACATGTCAGCATTTGTATCTTAAAACATGTTTATTGTTCTGATCAGCTGAAGGAAATTGGTAGGTTTTCATGTTGGGTGAGTAATGGAGGCTGCCTCTTCAGATGAGCCAATGAGTTAATAGAGCTAACTGGTAAAATACAGGATACTGATAAGGACTCATTGTCTTCTTACACGTGGACGATGTATCATCGTAGCGTCAGAGAAGTATATTTTCGCTGTTTCTGGGTCAAACTAACATCAGCTAGCCTAGTTAGTGATAAAGCCATGCCAAGTGTAATGGCATATACTTAATGGAATTTACAGTCCTGTTAAAACAGAAAATCACCATTTTACTGTATTGTTTCTCCATCTTTCCATGATAAAACGAAATTAATACCTGAATAGTCATTTCAATATTGGAATATCGGCACCTCAAACAGTTAACCAAGGACATTGTGATGCATCTAAGAATCTATCATTTCTCCCTTCCCAGTGTCTTTTTTTTACTATTTGAGTATCTGCGTTTTTAAAGTGTTCAAAACTTTAAAAAGGAACATTTTTTTGTTGTTAGGAACAGAAGCAAAACACTGATAGTTTAACATCTGATTATTTAGTGATTTAGGAATTTATCTTTGTGTTTCGTTTGTGATCTAACATATTAAACATACTTTATATGTGATTTAACATATAGTACCTGCTGCCCTAACTTGGAGATGCACAATTTACACTGTACAAATTTATCTTTTTGCTTAAGAAATTTTCATATATAGTTCCACTTAGATGTGAACTTAATGAGAGGCGCAGTGTCAGCTGCTGTCTTCCCACCATTCTCTGTGGTTTGACTTTACATGCTCAGTCCAAAACGTGCATGTAATGCACAATTTATCTGCATATTGTTTGAATACCAGTTTCTCCAGAGCTTCCGCCAGCATATGTCTGTAACCCATTGTTCTGTGACCTGTTTGTCCTTAGGGCGCCATTCTCACCACCATGCTGGTGTCTCGGAACTTCTCTGGTAAGTAAACACCAACCCTGCAGCCTGTAAGCTCCAGCCAGGAGTGTTTTGTTTGTGCCTTTCTGTGGCAAAACTGCCTAAATACAAGAGAAGTCGTCAAGAGCTCCTCTCTCAGGATTACCGTCACTATTTCTGTTGACAACCGTGTTACCCGTTATTCCCTTTGTCCCGATAAACACTACTGTGCAAAAGTCTTTTTCAACGTTGTTGAAAGCTATTTGACTGAAAGGTGTGTTTTTCTTCTGGCACATGCACTATAAAACTTATGAAGAATAAATATAGTTAATCATGAATACATTAGAAATTAACTGGAATTTCTTGTTTTAAGTAAATCAAAAGAAAACTCTCTTTTTTTCAAAGCAGAATGACATCTGACACGGTGGCTTGAGTTTGTATGCTTGTTCTTAGACTGCGTCGTTTCTTCTGAGACTTCCCGCTGACTGCAATACTGCGATCGCCCTAATCACCGCATCATTTGTTCTGAGACCTGCTGCTGACTGCTCTGAGACCTCCCTCTAGCTGTGATTGGTCCCAATCGCTGCATCTTTTGTTCTAAGACTTCCCCCTGACTGCTATTGGTCCTAATCACTCTGTAATTTTTCTAAGACCTCCCCCTGATTACGATTGGTCCTAATCACTGTGTAATTCGTTCTGAGACCTCCTTCTGACTGTGATTGGTCCTAAGCACTGCCTGATTTGTTCTGAGACCTCCCTCTGACTGCGATTGGTCCTAATCATTGTGTAATTTGTTGTGAGACCTCCCCCTGATTGTGATTGGTCCTAATTGTTGTGAGACCTCCCCTGATTGTGATTGGTCATAATCACTGTGTGATTTGTTCTGAGACCTCCCCCTGACTGTGATTGGTTCTAGTGACTGTGTAATTTGTTCTGAGACCTCCCCCTGATTGTGATTGGTCCTAATCACTGCCTAATTTGTTCCGAGACCTCCCCCTGACTGCGATTGGTCCTAATCACTGTGTTGTTTGTTCTAAGACCTCCCCATTACTGTTCTGAGACCTCCCCCTGACTGCGATTGGTTATAATGACTGCATTGTTTGTTGTGAGACCTCCCTCTGACTGCGATTGGTCCTAATCACTGTGTAATTTGTTCTGAGACCTCCCCCGATTGTGATTGGTCATAATCACTGTGTAACTTGTTCCAATCCCCCTAACTGCCATTGGTCATAATGACTGCTTTGTTTGTTCTGAGACCTCCCCCTGACTGCGATTGGTTCTAATCACTGTGTTGTTTGTTCTAAGACCTCCCCATCACTGTTCTGAGACCTCCCCCTGACTGCGATTGGTCATAATGACTGCATTGTTTGTTCTGACAAACTTGTTTTGGGACCTTCCCCTGACTGCGATTGGCCCTAACCAGTGTTGTTTTTTTTCTTAGACCTCCCTCTGACTGCGTTTCATCCTAATCACTAAATCGTGTGTTGTGGCACCTTCCTCTGACTGCCGTTGGTCCTGATCACTGTGCTGTTTGTTCTGAGACCTCCCTATCTGTGATTGGTCTTTAGCACAGCACTGTTTGTTTTGAGACCACCCCGTGACTTTGACAGGTCTTGTTCATCACGTTGTTTGTTGCGAGACCTCCTCCTGACTGAGGGGTCCTGTTCACAGCGGCATTTGGTTCACATGTCACATGGGTGCCTGTGAAGCAGGCCTCTGGCGGTGCTGAGTGTCAGAAAGACGCACACTTCTTTTTAAGCGTACTTAGGGCCGCATGTTCAATTCAGTTTCATGCTTTCATCGTTTGTAGTATACTGCCAGTTTTACAGCTCAGATAAATAGCTTTCAGCATCATTTTCTCAAGTGGCCCAAGACCTTTGCACAGTAGTATAGAAGCAAAGCGCACGTCACACTCATAAAAATGCTTTTTCTTAGCAGTAGGTGCCATTAGAGAATTGAGATTGGGGACATAGCTCAGCGAGAGTGACAGACTGCTACTCTAGATTTGGATGAACATTACAGAGGGAGGCCCAGTGTGTGTGTGTGTGTGTATGTGTGTGTGCGCATGTGTCCGTCCAGGAAGTTCAGTAAGCTCAGACGCCGCGTCTGGAAAAGCAGTCGTTTTTGGGTGTGTGCCTCTGTGGCAGAATGTGCGCGGTTTACTGGCATTTATAATAACATGTGATTTCTGTCTGCTCTAATGAAGCATCTGCTCCTTCACACACTCCCGCCACACACTCACACATCTCACACACTCACACTCTAACAGCAGGTCGGTGGGCGGCAGAGACAGTGCGCCTGTTCTAGGAAGCTTTTACATGAACTCGGATCTCTCTCTCTCTCTCTCTCTCTCTCTCTCTCTCTCTCCTTTTTTTAACACTCTTTCCTTCCTCTCTCTCTCTTTCTCCTTCCTTCTATATCCCCTTCTGTCTCTCTCTATCTATCTCTCTCTCTCCTCCTCTTTTTTCCCTCTCTCTATCCACCTTCCTCTTCCACTTTTCCCCTTACTCTCCCACCTCTCTCTCTCTCTCTTTTCCTCTTTTTATCTTTATTTCTCCCTCCTTCCCTGTTTTCTCTCTCCTTCTCTTTTCTTCCTTTTACTGTCTCTCTCTCTCTCTATCCCGCCTTCTCCTTTCCTCTCTCTATCTCTGTTTCCTTTTTTTCCCCTCTCTCTCTTTCTCCCTCCTTCCCCTCTCTATCTCTTTCACGCTTCCTCATTTTCTTCCCCTTTTCTTTTTCCCCCACTCTCTTGTTCTTTTTCTCTCATTCTAACTCTCCCTCAGTCCCTCTCTCTCCCTCTCACACTTTTTCTCTCTCCTTTTCTCTCACTCTCCCTCCCCTTTCTCTTCCTCACTCTGTTCCTCAGTCTTTCTCTCTCCTTCTCACACTCATTGTCACTGTCTCTGAATTTCTTTCTCTCTACTTTTTTTTCTCTGTCTCATTCACATCCCTTCTCCCTCTCTGTCTCTCTCCACTTCTCTTCTTCTGTCTCTTTTCCCTCATTCTGTCTCCCTCCCACTCCTGTCTCTCTCCTTTTCTTTCCCTTCTTCTCACCCTTTCACACTCTCTTCCTGTTTCTCTTCTCTTTCTCTCCCCCTCTTACTCTCCCTATCTCTCTCTTTTTCTCCCCTTTTACCTCTCCTTCTCTTCCTTTTTTCTTGTTTTCTCTTTCTATTTCTGTCCCTTTTTGACTCTGCATGTTTGAATCTCTGTCTTTCTCTCCCCCACTCTCTCTCTCTCAGCTCTTCATCGGCTCTCATCCTGCCACTCTTGGTTCTCTCCATCCCTCTCTCGTCATCCCTCCCTCTCTGTGCTCTCATTACTGTAATTACCTCATCCTGCGGGGTGAGTCAGCGGGAGAGGAGGCGGAGGAGTGTCCGAGCGTCACTTTCTCTCACACACACACACACACACACACACACACACACACACACTCACACACACACACATACACACACACACACATACACACACACACTCACACACACTCAGCCAGCCCTGAATTCAGCTCTTATTCTGCTTTTCTTCAGTTCAGCCTAAGTCCAACTGCTCTGAAACTCAATACATAAGACCATGGTTGTTATATGTTTGTTACATTAATACAGATAATTGCAGTCATAACTTTAGTTAAACGTACTTCATACAGGGATAGTAAGTCCTGAAACTCCAGCCCATGTTTAGCACTGCACCACCTGTACGCTGGTGGAGAGGGAAGTGGGTCTAGTACGCTGTAGCCATGTGTCTGATGCTGATAGCAAAAACTTGACGAGAAAATGAACCATTTTTTTGTATCACTGTGACAGGGATGACAGGAGCTAATGCCACTAAGCACCACGCACACACTCTTTTCTAGGAGCGCTGCACTCAAATCATCGGGCACTGCAGACGGCAGCGTCTAATCCAGTTTAACCCCTTAAACTCTAAGGGTCCGTATATTGACTCACCGTTCAGTTCCTCACTCTCATATTTAGATACCTTACAGGTTAGTTACTGAATGATTTATAAAAGTTGCTGAATAAAGAAAAGGTCTGAAGATTAATAGCCTAGGGTTCAAGGGGTTAACCTTCTACACGCTAACAGACTCATCTTCTCTCCTTCCTCCCTGCCTCTTGCTTTCTCCCTTCTCTTTCTCTCTCTCTCTCTCTTTCTCTCTCTCTCTCTCTCTCTCTCTCTCTCTCTCTCTCTCTCTCTCTCTCTCTGCGGCGTGTGTTTGTTCTGGGTGTGCGTGCGCGTCTCTGGCAGTGGGCCGGCAGACCACAGCACCGGCCACAGTCTCAGCGGCCGCAGCAGCTGCTGCAGCTGCAGCCGGCACTACCGCCGGCCTGGTGGAACAAGGTAGCCTTCCCCAAGCCCCTCAGAGGACTCGGCACCTCTTTCTCTCTCTTTTTCTGTCCCCTCCTCGCTCTGTCTCTCTGTCTCATTTGTGTGTCAGAGCCCACATTTTAGCATGGAACCTAGCATGTCACAATCACAGCTTGTCTTATAGCCACTAGTGCACTATGCATAGAAGCATTTGGCTGATCATTTGGAACAGTATGTATATTTAGAGATGTCCCGATCAAGTCTTTTGGCCATCAGTCCCTGATCTGAGTATCTACCAATATCATGTCTGCCTGTTATTTGCATTACTTCAAGCTGCAAACTTTATATTTAAACTTCTTGTGAACTCCTCTTTAAGGCCAAAGCAAAAAAAGTGACTATTTTGATCGTTGAATCATATACATGGTGTATATATACAGGTCAGTGGCCATTGTTTCCATCAGTGTTTTACTGATGATATATATTGCTATGTTGTTTGGGAGGGCCTTTAAAGCTAAACCCAATCTAAAGCTAAAGCTAAATTGCTTGGGTCTGCTGGATAATGTGAATGTTTCGGCAGCAGACCATTCAAGGGTTAAAGGCTTTTTCATAGATTTTGGCAGGTGTTAGCTGAAGCTAGCTGTTTTGGAACACAACAGCCAAAACCAATCCTGGTGTTAATTTTAGTTCTCACAAAGGAAATGATATATGAGGGGACACCTACACCACTAAAGGCACAGTGGTCAAAATCAGCCCTTTGGAGCCCAAAGCCCACTTCAGATAGGCTACAGTGTTGGGCAGTATGTTTAGTTAGAGCTACAGCATAAGGTAGCTGACGTAGTTTATGGGCATCTACGTTAATGTTAGCTATTTAGCTCTCTCTTGGCTTTCTCCAGCACTTTAAAGCAACACTGTTCACTCTTGTCATTCTTTTCTTTTCAACTTCTGTCCTTCCACTTTTCTTTTTAGCAGTTTTGTTGTTATTTTCTCCAAAACAATTTCTTCAAAGAAGTAACCAGCCATCACAGTGGGTCTTATTTCAAGCTAGCTGGCTGCGTAAAGCTAACGCCAGGCTATGGCTTCCCACTATGTGCTGTGCTTGTGCAACATGATTGACAGGCAAGCAGAAACAAAGTTGGAAGTTGGTGATCCACGTTATTTATTTCGTCTCGTCAGCACAGTGTAAAATAGTCTTAAGTAAGGATTGGAAGTTGGTCAGGCTTAATATAGATGATACAGATTCATTAGATCATGTCCTGATACTGATCGTGCGTCTCTGCTCGGGACATCCCTAGTTACATTTATTACACTTTATCATTCAGTGTTTCTCTGCATCACTCTGTCCCTTTTTCTTTTCTTTATTTTCCCTGTCTCTTTTTTTGTCTCTCTATATCTCATCATGCCTCTCCTCCATCTCTTTCCTCCTCCCTTCCTTTCTTTCTCCACCACACGCTCCATCTTTCCCCTCATCTTCGTGTTCTGTTCTGTAACCTGTTCTGTCAGCGGTTTAGCATGTTCTATCCTCTTGCACTCGCCGCCACCACCTACCCTCTTTCGCTGCCCTTTCACTGCTCCCGTCTTCCAGCTGTGCTCCCTTTTACATCTCTTTTTCTCCTCACCTCTCACTCATTCTTTCTCACCCTCCTTTCCTCCTCATTTCCTCTCGCTCTCTCTCTTTCTACGCTCTCTTTCTCTCTCTCTATCTGGTTCCCTGTCACTTCTCTCCTGATAGGTCTCTCTCCCACCCCCCAGTGCTCCTGTGCCTGCTGATTTGCTGAATGCTGCACGGGGGCTGCATGCATGTATTGCGATGCTGAAGATGGCCCAGATCGCATTGCATGAACAAATGAGAAGACTTTAATCTTTGCATTAAGGAAAGGGGGTTCAATGTCAGTGAAGCGGGGCGAAATGACGTATCCTGGTTGGGGATCAGTTGATTGGTCCTTTGTGTTTTAGAACCCAGTTAAGATTCCCTTACCAATGAAGTCGAATGCTGTACATTGAGAGTCTGCGGTGTCATCGGATTTATGCTGACTCTACGACCATCATTCTTTTTAATGAAATCTATGAATATCGGCGTGGACACAGTTGACCTAGGTCTGCTCCGCCCGCATATGTGTACTTTGACAGAGCAACCTAATGAGAAATTGTAGCTTGCAGTTTACAGTTTTCAGTTTAAAATGCTTTGCTTTTTAGTTAGACTATCTATGTTGTACTTTTGCAGGTTTGTTGTTATGGCTTTTGCAGGTTTGAAATGACAGCAGCAAATTTGGCACCATGCTAATGCTAGCTTGGTTATGCAACAAAAAAATGAATATCTATCCAAATATGGACCTAAGAAGAGGCATAGTAAATATATAACACTTCATGCAAGTCAGAGCCAAGACTTGAGTCTCTGAGATGTAAGTTCAAGTCTTGACTCTCAAAGGTGCGAATCCAATTCAAGTCTTGAGTCTCTGAGGTGCGAGTCCGAGTCAAGTCTTGAGTCTCTGAGGTACAGGCCTGAGTCTTGAGTCTCAGAGTTGTGAGTTTGAATTGAGTCCTGAGTCTCTGAGTTGCAAGTCCTAGTCAAGTCTTGAGTCTCTGAGATGTGAGTTTGAGTCGTGTCTCGAGTCTGTGAGGTGTGAGTTCGACTCGAGACCCGAATCTCTGAGATGTGAGTCTCCGTTAAGTCTTGAGTCTCTGAGATGTGAGTGCTAGTCAAGTCTCGAGCCTGTGAGAAGTCAGTTTGAGTCGAGTCTTGAGTCTCTGAGATGTGAATTTGAGTTGAGTCTCAAGTCTCTGAGGAGCAAGTCCGAGTCAAGTCTTAAGTCTCAGAGGTGTGAGTCCAAGTCAAGTCTTGAGTCTCTGAGGTGTAAGTCAGAGTTGAGTCTCAAGTCTCTGAGCTAAGAATCCAAATTATGTCTTAAGTCTTTTTAGGCATGTTGCGAGTTGTGAGTCAGTAAGGGGCAAGTCTGGGTCGAGTCAGTCAAAATGTGATTGAAGTGCTACTTAAATCGACATCTCTGTTAGTAACACACTAAATTTGGGCTTTTTCATAAAAACTTTATTGTATGCTACAATTTCTTGTCTGATTGAATGGGCTTTTTGCTAGCTGTTTGTAAGGCTTGTTCAACCTTGCAACGGTTGCTATGAAACAGCATTTTTAAGTGGATTGGTCAGTTAAGTCTTTTAGTACAATTCACTGTGATGAGGACCAGATCTAATGACTTGATTTAGTCATATCACACATATTGGAAACATAGAGGTCATGCCGTTGATTGATCCTAGATTCTCTCTATTGTACATTGCCATTACCAATGCCCATGCTATTACTGTTCTATATTTTGTCCTTGTATAAGGGCAGCCTGCTGGTTCGGTTTGCCTTTTACTCTATTTGTCCTGCTGTAGCACCAAGGCCTTGGCTCAGGTGCTTTCTTCTGCTCTAAGTTGTGACTGACTTTCTTTCCTCTCCAGCTTTTGTCGAACTCTCCATACAGCGTCTTTGTCCTTGTGCGTCTCTGTGCGTTTATTTGTGGGTCTGAGGTTTATTTGGGCAAGCGGTCAAATTCGTTACCACCCCTCCTCCCCAGGTGCCACTGAAAAAGTGAAAGGCGGATCCGGAACTCAAAGGACGTAATTAGGCATTTTTGGTCAAAGTATTCCTTTTAAATAGTGTAGTGTTCTAGTTCCACTCACCTGTGGTCAAATTCAAGCTGACTCAAACTCTCCCTGGTCAGCGTGCATTTGAACCCCCTGCCCTCTGTCAACGACCAAAGGTCTTCCACGCGCACCTTTTTTTATTTTTATTATCTCTCTCTCTTAATCCATTCTCTCCTAATCTCTCTCCCTCTCTGCCTCATCTTCCTCTCCGCTCTCTAAAACTTGTGCCAAGGTAAGGATTCTCTCTCTCTCTTCCTTTCTTCTTCTTTCTCTGACCCCCTCTCTTTCTCTCTGTCTCAGCATCTGTAGCTCTGTAAGAACGAAACACCAGCCACTTTTTTTACATTCTTTACTCTGTTGCCATGGCAGTGACTTGGCGACGGTGACGCATACAGATAAGGGGGTTCGCTCAGTCATCTCATTTACTCAATTATAAGCTAATGTAACTCATTCATCATCCAAAAGCTGGACTTTGGGTGATGTTGTGATTTATAATGCTTCATAAAAGAGTGAAGTTTTGATGAATGATGAGAATATGGTATCACCTGCACCTCCACCCCCAGTTTACACTACGGCGTGAGCGCGTCTGCTTGTGTGCGAGTGTGTGTGTGTGTGTGTGTGTGTGTGTGTGTGTGTGTGTGTGTGTGTGTGAGAGAGCTAGTAAGCCTATGCTTGCAGAAGTATGTAGGCTTGGGATGTAACAGAATACAAGTATTCAGAATACAAGTCCATGTTACATTTTGAATAGACTGTATTCCGAATACAGTCCTTTTTATGTTTTTTGGAGAATACTTTTTTTAACATACAATAAATAAAAATAACATACAGCTTTTAAAAGACATACCATCAATGCTTGTTTATTAACTACACTCAATTCCATTACTACTGGCACCCTTGGTAAAGATAGGTAAAAAAAAAGATAATAAAAAATGTCTTTGTGCTTATTTTATTTCCTTTTATTGCTGTTACCCAACAAAATCTCTCAAGGTCAACATTAATTTCAACTTTACTTCTTGTCTGTAAAGAAACAAAAACCATTATCAAATTTTTAACAAAACCACATAAGACATGATTATTAACACCCTTACAAATTCTTATGAACATTCTTATGAGCACCTTAGCATTCAGAAACTCTTAAGCAGCCATCCATGACCTATTCTGGTCATCCATGACTGTTTCACTGGATATAGGCATGAGTTGAAACAGGTCAAATTCCCTTAGCTGTTCATCAGTGTGATGAATGTTAGAAAATACATATGAAATAAGACAAAACTGTGATTAGGTAAAAATAGTTGCTACAAAAAATTGCTACACACTTGAAAGTGCGTATCCAATGTTGAGGCAATAGTTAATCAGATTAGAACAGCTGGAGCTGTAGTGAACATACCTGGAAGAGGACGTAAGTGTGTTCTGCCACATCCAGTGACGGGAATGGCTAGAGAGGCAAAAATGTCTCGTAGGATCATGGTTGGAGATTTGCAGATGATAGTAGCATTTTGGTAGCATCTACAATTACATGCCAACAAACCATTACAACTGCAGTCCATGCCAACACACTATTTAGACAACATGCCAGACTTCATTTAAGAACAAACTTAGAGTAAAGTTCAGTAGAACTTCAGTTTAGTTTAGTGCTGGAACTGGGTTCTGTAGTCAGAGGAGGCAAATAAAGCTTTTTGGAAACAATTATTCGAAGTGGGTTAGGCATAAAAAGAAGGATGATTATACAGAAACTAACCTTATCCTCATTTTTGGTGTGAGCTTGAGCTGATTAACCACAAAGGATACCAGTTTTTATGACCTTTTTTACTCATCTTCACCAAGGGTGCCAATAATTATGGAGCTGACTGTGTACATAATTGGTCTTATGCAAAAGTGACAGAGCGAATACGTTCGTGTGTACAGTGCTGTGCAAAAAACAGTTTATCTGGGCAGTAAGTATGTTTTGCTTGTGAGAAACATTATATAACATTTGAGTAAATACAAATAAACAAACAGTAGAAGTAAAATAATTTCTTGTTTTAAGAAAAGTTATTGACATTTCGTGAGCTGGTCATATGAATATGTTTAGTTCCTTTCCTCTTTGACTCGGCTCCAGCCATTACATGTTGTTGAGTGCCATCACCAGCACATCTGGTTTAACTCTAATGAAGTCCACCTTAATGAAGTATTGATTAGCTGAACCACGTATTGGATGATAACTACAAATACTGAGCTGCTTTTTGGCCTTGTCCTCACAAATACATGGGTACTGCCTGTTCAAATACCTTTGCTTAAAATTTTCTGAGGTGGCCCAACTGTTTTGCACACTACTGTACCCTTTTGCACACTCCTGCATGTGCAGTTGAGCCCGTCCCTGAGTGTGCATGCCCCCTCTGCCCCTCCCAGAGGGCAGTGAAGCCCCCCCTTGCTGTAATCTACCTGTGTTAGGGATTTTCTCCTGTGGCCGCTGTGCTGCACGCTGCCCTCCATCCGCTCTGCTCTTTACCCACTCGCTGTTTTAAAGCCCCTTTAATCCTCTGTGAGGAGAGACAGTGGCCGGGCCGGACCCAGCGGGGCTCTGTACACCGTCCCGGCATTTCGGCTGGTTCGCTGGTTATGGTGGCTGCTGCTCTCTCTCTTTTCTGCACCCATGTTTACCCTCCCTCTCTCCCCCTCCGCAGCAGCCAAGAGCCTGCTCAACAAGAAGGCTGATGTCAAGGTAAGGCCAATTTCACTTCCTACCATTACTGTTCACATCTCTTATTCTCTTTATCTCTCGGTCTCATGTTTTCTCTCTGTATTCTCTCTGTTTACGCATTGCTGCTCCTCAGTGCCAAGGCTTTCCCCCAATATAATAAACAAATCTTGTCTTTCCCTATAGATGCTTTGTCTCTGTTGAGTCAGGGTTTAAAACTTGGATTTCTAGCATCTGTTTGTCAATCGTTATGCAGTGTTTGTGTTTTCTCCTGTTGCCTGCCTTTTAGGCCTGTCACAATTATTACATAATCACCTGATCGTAATTATTTAGCTTTCACGGTCATAGGTTTACATTACAACAGACCGAATGTGATTGGGTGCATTATCATCAATTGTGTTAAGGTAAACACATGCAAATAAAAGACAATAGAAACTTCTATTGAAACATTTTGGGGGTCTTACCAAACCAGCAAAAGTTTTTATTTCTGGTGCTATAACATGTCTAGGAGGTGGTGAGTAATGTTTGTGTATTTGATCTTGAACTGTGTCTGTCATTAGTTGGAAGCTAAGAAATAACTAGAAAACAAGATAGCAAATCACCTAATTTTATCACTTCAGGCTTGCATGGCAGTTCATCATGGGCTAAAAGTTCATTATCGTGACAGGCCTACTGTCTTTTGTGGCCATGTTAGTCAATGTGTTTGTTTGCGTTTATGTAAGCTTTGCTAAATTAGTTGCCACTTGTCAGGCTGGTGGAGTCCAAGTAAAATACTACATAAAGCAGTCTTATTTGATTTTTTTGTTGTTGTTTGCTCACTTTTGACCTAATTTCAGACCAAATCGTGCTTGAAATCTGCCCAAAAAACCACATGGCGTTCACCTCGAGCTACAGCGGCTGTCGCTAATCCCTCATCCGCCGCGCTTCTAGCTATAGCGCCATAACTGTCGCTAGCATCGAGAATATGAGCAGATGTTGACCCCTGCACTCCAGCAAACTGCGAGATGCGCTCAGTGAGGATTCATTTGGGCTGATAGCGCATAATCCCCTCCCTTTCGCCTCGGCTGTGCTGCAGAATTAGACATGAGCCTCTCCTCCGCTCTCCGCCAGTGATTGGATGGCGAGTAATCTGGAAAATAATCCTCTCCAGTCGCGCTTTCCTCATTTGGAGCATTAATCATACCTTACATAATCTGGTAGCATGCCGACAGTAAAAAGCACTCGGAGGTGAATTCGGCGACGATTATCCGCCCCCTGCCCTCTCTGATGGCTTATTTCTGTAACGTGCTGCACTAAATAGCTGTTTTGAATTCGACTGCTTCTGACATTTCAGAAGCTTTCCTTTTTTGTGATACTGAAAAATAAATACAATTAAAAGCCCCACATCATTTCCTAATAATTTCCTAACAATTGGATAATTTGTTGAAAAATCTACACAATTTACATTTCATCTTACTCCGAATGTAGCTGATCAGCCAAGACTAGACAAACACTTGCCTCAGTTGACAAAAGTAGAGGCTTAAATCAGGCTTAAAGATGGCTGCTCCGACTTTTTTGCTGTGGGAATTGCTTTCGTCAGTTTTTATAGAAAACAGTATGTCAGCGTCAGAAACCACATAAGGAAGTGTATTTGAGATTACTTTACAACTTGCCTTGGTCTGAGGTGTGGATATCTTGGCTGATGGACAACATTTGGCATAAATTGTGTGAATTCATCCGAAAGCATAATATCACTTAGCATACAGGTACGGTTAATTGTAATAGGACGAGACGCTGGTTATAACAGCTTCTAAAAAGTCACAGTTAATTTAGTCTAGTTCCGTGTTGTTTGAACCAGATGAGCTTTCCAAGCTAAATACATGAAAGCATATTCAATAAAATAAATATGCTGAGTTAAAGCGGCTATGTCAGATCTTCCAATTTTTTTTTAATATAAACTAGAAGACAAAATATCAGCACAATAAAATTGAATTAGATTTTATTTAAATTACATCTACAGTACGTTTCTGATGAATCTGTGAATTGTTCCAAAAAATGAACTGTTTCAGTTTTAAATGAAAGACTACAGACTTTCTCTTGGGAGGCTCATCTTTAACACCATGTTAAGACTAACCCCACCCTGCGGAGGCTGTTCTTTAGCCTGACTAGCTCTCACTGTGAATTGGTTATATGCCTCAAAGTGGTGCCACCAAGAGGTTGATCACAATAACATAGCTGTGAATTCTCTAAATTAAGCAACCCCAGTTCGAGCTGGATAAGTTTTACCTGGTGAGGTACTGTAATTTCTGGGATTACCGATGAGATCCAGTAGCAGTATCAGTGATTTTATAAGTCTGTTAAGTAATAATTCTAGACAAAATTACCTTCTATAATTCGTCTGCACAATTGTGTGACTTGGGAAATTAGACCGATCATTTATCCCATACGAATCCGTCAGTCAAATCGCGCATAGATTACATTACCAGCCCACCTCTGGTAAAACTAATCCAGCTCAAATATGGCTTTATGCACACAAATCAGAAAATTAAAAAACAGGTTTTATGGTGCAACAACAGTCTGCACTGTGAATGTGGAGAAATGTCTGTCAGAGTGCTTTGATGATTTGCAGATGACTTCACTATGGGAATTCGAGAGGTTGACCAAAAACACGTTCTAACTCCTTAAATTGCCAGTGGGTCCAAAGTTTTACTACACACTTGTATAACCTAAGTGTAACTCAGACAATTTGCATTGTAGTGTTTGTAGTTACTGAATAATAAGCCTTAGTATGTAATAAGCCTGGGATTTTAAGGGGTAAACTACACAAAACTCAGGCCGCTCTCCCCTGCCTCCCCCCCCCATTCTCTCTTTTTCTCTCTCTCTCTGCTTCCCTAGCCCTTTCACTACCTGACTGTAGCTGCGTCTCATTCAGCTGAGCTTGCCGCCCACAGAAAGCAGTGCGCTGACCATCTCTCAGCCCCGCTTTCAAGCAGCTCCCGCCAGCTCATGCAGCACTGGGGTTAACCCTCAGAAGCGTAACACTAATATTATCATATTGTATGCACAACAGTTACTTCATCAGATTTAAACCATAATAAAATATCTGCTTTTCTTAAGAACGCAAAGGTAGTATTGACTGAAAGTTTAGAAACAGCTTGTTTCACTGAGCTACAAGTGAGATCAGTTTAATGAAAGGTAAGGAGAGGGTTTAGTTGTGTATATGCCATGCAGCTAGGAGGCACAGCCGTTCCTACAGTAAGTCTCTGTTAGCCACATAGGCAGGTGTAGCCATCCCACATCTCTACGCTTCTCACGCCTGAGCTATAGACCACTTCACCACTATCGTCTCATCATCTCCTCTCCAGTTATCCGTCTCTCCATCTCAGTCCTCCCTCTTGCGCTACATACTCGCTTGTGTCTGTGTGTGATAGTCAGTGAAGGGTGGGGTCACCTCAGTGGGGAATGTAGCTCCCGCTCCAGGAATAGCTGGCAGTCTGAACCCTGGGAACCGAGAGACAGAAATAGACGCCTCTGCGCCTCACTCATCGCTTAGCAACTGGCTCAACATGCTCCTGCATACTGACATTTTAGGCTTTTTCTCACTTTTTCTTTCTGTCTCTCTATCTCTCTTTTACTTTTCACTGCCGCAGCAGTCGTGGAGAACGCACTCCTGACACGTCTTTGCTGTTTCAACTGAACATTTTGAATTACTGATAATAAATCTATGCTCACTGGCCACTTTATTAGACACCCCGGCCTTGTAGCTCCACCTTACTGGTCTCTTAGATTGATTAGAAAATGGAAAATAGAGACGTAGATCTGCGTTTGTACTACAGACTTTCTGTCTTTGGCCATGTGTAAGTGTGTAAGCTACTGATTTATAGTTTGCAAAAAGTGCCATGTCCAGAAACTTTTCTACTGAAGAAACTTCGGCCAAAAAGTGAATATAAAGCTGCTTCAAATCGCCATATTTCAGAAAAATGTTCCCGAATGAACATTTCAGATCTGATTAATACTGTCAGGAAATATTGTGAATAGTGTGAAAAATTTGCCTTGTATCTTCACTAGTGTCTGAGATATGGAGGCATGGCCTTGTTTATTTACCTGTTTACCTTAAAATAAGTGCTACATTAAAAGAAAATGTTGCAGATAATTCATTTTTGACTTATTGATGCTAAAAGTATGAGTATTGAGGTTATTGTATGTTGAACTGCCGAAAACAGAAGGTGCAAATAAGCATGTTTGCCATTTTATGGCTTTCTGATAAACTCCAAAAATTTAAGTTTGACTCTATATATCCACACAGAAACACGTTAGATCTTACAAACATGGGTATTTATTACTCATTTTGCAATATTTTTTGGCAACTAGACGTTTGTCTCATAGTAATGAAGATTTCTGATTTATGCAAAAGTGATGAAATCATTAAAAATCATTAAAAATGAAAAAATACAATAAAAAATTACATGAGCTATAGAGATAAGATAATTTAATTAACTAATGCACCAAATATGTGATTTTATGAAGTTATTTTCAGCCAAACTCTATTTATTGTGTATTTATTGTATATATTTTTATTATATCACCTCATTTTACAAAACTGTCTTTAGTCCTAAGTTAAGATCAAATTCATATTACAGAAGCCACTCCTATCATAATTTAGGAAGTGTATCTTACCTTACAACATCTTTTCTCAAGTTAAGGTTTCAGTCGAGGTTGCCAATTGGTTTTTACACCTGTTAAAAAGCAACCAATGATAAGCTGGATGTAAACAGCTAATCTAAAGACCAAAAACAAAATGTAAGCTACTGTTTTAAAGCAGGCAAAAAAATGCAGTGCCATGTCCAGAGTGTTTTCTTCTGAAGAAACTTTGGTCAAAAAGTCAGAAATATTTCCCAAGGTCAAGCTCAAGAAGTTCATAGCCACGTTCATAAAAAGCAACTTCTTTCTTATAGACGGTGAGTGTAGAAAAATTAATTTTAGTACTTCAGCTCACTTTGCTCATTTGTCAAAAAAGCAGAGTGTCTTAAAACCATGAAAAGAATCGAAACAAAAAAGCCAGATTCTGAACTCCATCCAGAGAAATATTTTTTTAGAGAACGTTTGAGAAGCTTGTGTGTTATGAATGAATTCACATGCTTTCACTCCAGTGATGCCTCTTTGCACTCATCAAAGCTGCCTGGTGTCCCTGCCCTTCCTCATTCCAAACCATTAAACCCTCTTTGCTTTTATTTTAATGTTCTGCTTTTCGAGCCCCTCCAGTCTTTTTCCGCTCTATTGCTTATCTTCATTCCTTCATTCGTCGACTCTCCACCAATCATTTGTATATTAAATGTGCATCTCCGGTTCAAGTCCATCCACAGTGTTCACTCACCCGTTCTCTCCCCCTCTCACTCCACCATTCGTCTGTCGCCCTGCCGCCACCCCGCCTCCATCGTGCCAGAAACGGAAATCCAGCTCCACTGTTCAGTACATGGTGAGGATATCATTTAATCCTAATCTCTTTATCGTTCTCCATTGTCCTTTCTGTTGCGCAGCTATCTCTGAATCCCTTCATTCCTTCATTCATTCGTTGATGCATTATTAATTTTCTTTCCTTTTTGACGATTCTATGTACCCTTTTTAATAAAAATCACAGTGTGCATTCTAACGCTCAAATATGAAAGTAGTTATGCGTCACATGCCCTGTATAAAATTAGTTGTATTTGGAGTCCCAACTACATATGTTACGGGTGTATTTGCGTATATTTGACTGTGAAGTCAAACTGTCAAATGTCTTTCGCTTTTGTCTCTGTTGTGCTCTTTGCCTTTAAACAGCTGCATGCTGGGATTTAAAATGATGTCATCCTTGTCAATGGACTAGTCAGTCTCTGTATATACTAAAGAATGACTAGCCCAAGCCCAGAGTCTTTCTCTGTATGTCTTTTTAAGCTTTGGAGTTTACGTTCTTTTATTTGTTGACTTACTGTGTTTTGTGTGTTCTCTGTATACGTTTAGCTGAATGCTTTTAGCTGTGCTGCTGCATCTTTGGATTTGTTTGACCAAAGAACAGATGGTACCCATTATTATTTTTAGAGATATTTTCATGTGCTATAACTTTCCAGTCTTGAACAGACTACATTTTAAAAGTACAATGTTCCACTTGTGCTATTATACATCATCTACCAAAACTGAACAGGGAGACCAATTGGAGCAATAGCAAATTTGGGAATTAGTGGAGGTCATAAATGTATTTTTTTCCACCTCTTTGTGAATTTCTCTTCCAAAAAAGTGACGGGTAAGCATACACATGTTGCATACTGCCGTCTCAGGTGTGAAAAACAAGTAATCAGTTAATCACTTAAAAATCATTTTTGTGTGATATGTGCATGGCAGAAATTACCTTAACTAGAGTCAGTAGGCAAAGCTGCTTCAAATCACCATATTTCAGAAAAAAGTTCCTGAATGAACATCTCAGATCTGATTAAAACTGTCAGGAAATATTGTCATAGTGCTCAGTAGATTGTGTGAAAAATGTTAGGCCTGTATCATCACTAGTTTCTGAGATATGGAAGCATGGCCTTATTTATTTACCTGTTTACCTTAAAATAAGTGCTACAGAAAAAGTTGAAAATGTTGCAAAGATAATTAATTTTTGACTTATTGATGCTAGTAGTGTGAGACTTGTGGTTGATGTATGTCTAACTGCCAAAAACAAAAGATACAAATTAGTATTTTTATTTTTGCCATTATCTCATTATCTTTTGCATCTTATATTTGTCTTTTGTACAGTGTCTTTTGTACTTATATTTGTCTTTTGTACAGTGAGGTGCATTTGACACTTGAATAAATAAGTAATTTGGCTCAAGGAACCATATTTGTATTTGGTACTTTTGTTAATTAAAATGCTCTTTCCAAAAGTATAAATGAGGGTTTGGTAGACTTTGACAGACATTAAGTAATATGCACTTATAATGAGGGTGTAATGTGATTGTTTTTTTTTTAATGGTTCATAAATCAGAAACTTGTATTACTTTAGACCTAAAGTTAATTGGCGAAAGAGGGATGTTTGTAGTGAGTAATAAATATAAATGTTTGTGAAATGTGAAGGACTTCAAAGTGGAGATGTGTACAGTTGTTTTGTAGTCATACATTGTACAAGTGGTAAATAGCAAACATGCATCTTTGTATCCTCTATTTTGGCATTTAAAACATTGTAAACCAAAGAGTAAGACTTGAAAAAGTATGTTGCATCAATAGTTCAAAAGTCATGACTTGCAGCTTCTTCCACAGCGTTTAATTTAAGGCAAAAATTAAGGCCCACTTTGTAAAACCTCTGCATTTTAGAAACTAATGAAGATACAAGCCTAAAATTGTGTTCATTGCCTACTGAGCACATAAGCATAAATCCCTGAAAATATTACGTAAATCAGAAATGTTGAGTTGAAAGGTCGTAGACTGACCCCATGCTCAAAAATGGCTTAGGTCTTAGGCACCAATGCACATCTTTTAAAACCGTTTTTCCTGGTATTAAGTGTGTTTTTGCTTCTAAAATACCATGTAACATTACAATATATGCAAATAAACATACGTTTAGTAAAAAGTAACAAGAATTTTTTAAAAGAGCTAGATTGAAAAACGAAAAGGTTTGGTTCTAGATTTTTCCTGGATGACCCCCACTATTGCATGGATTTGCTGAATTCCATTTCCAGCATACTTCATTTAATTTAACGAAGCATTGATGAGCCAAACAAGGTTTTAATTATAACTACAAATTATATTGGGATTTCTCTAGGAGACGTTTGGAAACGGTTAAACAGAAAAATCATTATTTATTGTGTTAATATTATTTATATGTTTTCAAATATCAGTATTGTACGTGCATATGAACATGACTGTTGTCACAGCGCAGCCCTCACTGCCCAACTTCACAAGACACTATGGTGGGATGAATGTCTGTAACCAAGTTTTATTGCAAACTTACCAAGACAGTCAGCCGAATGAGTTTAGGCTGAGTTTTTCCCAGTTTTACCACTCAATTCTGGAGCAAAAGTGACATTGGATGAAGTTTAGAAACAACATTGGTGAGCACAGGATGGTCATTAGAAAGAAACTGGGCTCCACCAAGCTTGTCATTGCTTGAAGCAGAACCTGCTCCACCAGTGCCAGCTGCAGCATTTCTCTTTCTCGCTCACGTTTTCTCTCTTTCTCTTTTCTTCTCTTCCTCTCCTCCACCCAGCGTTCCCCTTTTTAACACCACTGTTGTGTTTTCTGCACAGCCCCAGTCAAACAGCACGAAAAACAGCATAGTCACCAGTCCCAAGGGAAACATCCCCTCTCCTGCTCTGGTATTTACCTCCTTATTTCTCTCTGTCCTCTCGCCCTCTGTCTCTTTTTTTTATTTCTTTGTGTTTGTCTCTCTGGATCTCCTCTCCTGTCTCTCTTTGTCCGTCTTTATCTTTGTCTGCATCTCTGCTCGTCCACCACCTGTCAGTCGAGGCCATGTGTTCTGTCAGAGACACTCACAGTCTAGAATCTGAACTGAACTTTTCTTCCATTGTTTTAGACTTTATGTAGTGCAATAGGGCTGGGACGATATGCAGTTTAGGAGAAATACTTTTGTCTTCATTAGTCAGTAATTATGAATCTTTAACTAACATTCAAATTAATATCTATTAAATGCAACTGAACTTGAAGTTGCGTGTGAAATACTCTATTAAATCTACCCCAACACTAAACCTAACCCTAACTTCAAGACAAAACCTACACCTACTCCTAAACCTAACCCTAACCGTAATGTTGTTGATAATCAACTGAGTATCACTAGAAAGTTTGTTAATGATGTAAGTAGCTGTAGAGCATCTATAGAGGACCGTCCAAATAAAGTGTGGCCTACGAAAGTTTCTATTTGTGCCAGAGGGGGCGACAAACACTTAAGGCCTTTGCAAAGCTGGTCTGAGTTGTGACTCAGAAACAGAAGTGTGTCAGCTTTATTATGATTTTTATTACTTGCATTTTTTAATATGTTCGATAATACTGTTTTCTTCCAGTGTTTCTGTTTGTGTATGTTATTCTAACACTTGTGTTGTAAAGCATCTTAAAGTTTTTAAAGGTGAGACAAACTATACATAAAATTATTATTATTATTATTAATATCATTTACAATGGGTTATTACCCAGTGTCTGAATCTTTGGGTCACACTAACATTATTGCTAGAAGTATCCTTTTTTCTTCCTCTTTGTCTTCTTCCTGGGTTGTTTTTAATTTTAAAAACTGATGATGTGAAGGTTTCAGCGCATAAAAAAAGGCTTCGCTTTTTTCGTCCATAAAGAGCAAGTTGGTTTGAAAAGACCTCACAATAAATACATGTTATACTATAATTTGGAATGAAAAATACTGCTTATGTTATTTTCTTAGTGTAGCAGCATGTTCACGTCACGGCTCACAGGGCTGCATATTATCGCTGTCTGAAAGAACCCGAAGAACTTTTTTTACGATTTTTATTTTTCTACATCATTTGAGCACAACATATGTCTTTTATATTAAATATCATCAGTGGACCAATAGAAAAGCTCTAAAATTGCATGAAATAATATCTCTTGACATTAACTCATTAAAAGGAAGAAATGTTTCTGCCTTCTCTTTTAAAGTTTATGGTTTGTGTTTTTTTTGGACAGTGATGATAAGCAACAACGCTTAACACTCATGCACACCAAATGTTAAAAAAATTATAAATTATACTTAACTATTTCATGGCCATTTTCAATAATTACTGATAAATCAATAAGTGGTCCCAGCCCTACTTTTTAATATGTATTCTGGTATTGGTTATACAGATTATACCACCTGAGAGGGAAAGTGCCGTTGCATTTTCCCTGATTTCTCTGAGAGATCTTTCACTCCCATTATTATGTTCCCATTAATGTTTACGTCTAGAAAAACATGTAAATTGTCTGTGTCTCTGTGGTATTTATGCAATATTGCATCTTAACCAAACTTTCTCCTCAGTTGTTTGAGGACATGTGCTGTAGTACACTAGTTGCTCTAATGTCAAGTCACTCAAAAGCTTCTAACAGCACACGCCAAAAGATTTGTGAATCTCTGGATTTGAGCATGGGCTGAAATGCTCTTCCTGGAAGAGTTTTTACTAATGAAACCTCAACCAGCTGTAATGTATTCTCAGCTTGGCCTTGATTCCACTAAACAGAACCACAGGTTACGGACAGTGGTGACATTTATATTGGAGTACCACAGATGAGAGATAAAAGCAGAGTTAAAACGCTGACGTCAGACTAAAAAACTGAATGTAAATTAATGTCCTGTTCCTGCTTTGGTGGATTTATGGGATATTAGTGGCCATTATTTTGAAAGACGCTTAACAATTTGCTCAGTAAGAAGCAATCTGTGGAAGTGGAATTATTACTATTCTGCGTTTTCCATCAAATTAAAGTAGTCATAATGTTTTTAAATGACTATTATTATAATTATTATCCACAGGCTTGTTACAAAGATCTTTTTACCTGATTTTTTTATATAGTTTTACCTCTATGTTTTATATGAAGTTGACCATTTTTGCTATACATGATTTATACTACTGTGACTTTTTTACTTACCTGCTTTATACTGAGCTGTGCAACATGTGCTCATTGCCTGGTTGTTATTAGAAGCGTTTGCCTCTTTGGACTGGCTTTCGTCCTTCTGCTGTGACCTTTAACTCTCTTCTCCCCTCAACCAGAGCATCACCTCCAATTAAAAATCTCCATTCATTAAACCTTAAAGTTTTCTCACGCTCCTTCTACCTCTTAACTGCTCTATTTCCTCTCTTCTCTTCGTCTCCCTCTTTCTTTTTCTAACACCTAGTACTATTTTTACTCTCTCCATCTCTCACCTACACTCCATTTTTGCTCTCTCTCTCTCTCTCTCTCTCTCTCTCTTTCTTCCCCCCCTCCCTCTTTCTCTCACCCTTCTTGCCTTTCTTTCTGTAGGAGGCTCAGACCACTGTTATCCATAACCCAGTGGATGGGATCAAGGTACATCCTTCCCCACCGCCCTCCTCATCTTTCTTTACTTTTCTCTCATCTTCTGCTTCACTTTGCCTCTTTCATCCTTTGTCTCAGTAGCTGATTAATTTATTCTTTCCCCTCCGTCTCTTAAAAAATGTTCAAAGGTCCACTTAAACGAAGATTAAAACGAAGTTCCACAACTGACACAAAATGATCAGCTACGTCTCTTGTGGCAGCATAAACCTCTAAACTGTACTACTTAGTTCTGTACGCTAGTGTTAGCATTGTGTTTTCCCTTTACTCCAAAAATAATCAGACAAGGTTAATGTTTTCTTCTTTAGTTTTGCACTGAAGCTATCAATAAAACTCATATCTCACCAGTTAACATCATGCTAATTGGTTACAGCATAGATCAAACATCACGCATATAATTTTTCAAGTAATCTCAAACCAGTTCTTTGGCTTTGTGATGCACATTTGTCCTTTTTTACCTGATTATATTTCCTCCAATTTAGCCAATTTCCACCCAATAGCTTGGTGCCCCCATCACACCTAATGTCATAAAGCCAGGAGGGTGAATGCCAGCATGATTCCTCCCAGACATTCAAGCGCCACTGCATCTTTTTTGAAATGCTGCTAGGGCAACATCATTGGACATGCTCGGAGAAGCTAACTGTCAATCAGTGGCATAGAGAGAATTTCATTATCCGGGAGGCCTGATTACAGGTTGAGGGGACCAGCTAGCAAGCATTAAGGCCTAGTGACATCGCTATTTTGAGGATGACAACCACCAGTTAGCCTGCTTCACACACTTAATTGCCGAGTTTCTGTAATAACTGACAGCATGGCAGAGCAGGTAAAGGCTAATTAACCATACCTTTTACAGCACTAGGAGAAGATGAATAGGGCAGTTTTTTAAAGAAAGCAGTTCTCTCGTCATCTTTTCACTGTATTTTGTCAGTATTAGAGGTTTGTTTTCTTGACCGCAGTCAAATACTACTAGACAGTGAGCAGCCACTTTCTTAAGTACACCTGCCCTGTATCTACACTCTTTGTTCATTTTATCAAGTCCATTTATCATATAGGTGCACTTTGTAGTTCTACAGTTACAGACTGTAGTCCATCTGTTTCCCCTGAGTAATTTGTTAGCCTCCTTTCACCTTGTTCTTCAGTGGTCAGGAGCCCCATGGACCCTCACAGAGCAGGTATTTTTCAGGTGGTGGATCATTCTCAGCACTGCAGTAACACTGACGTGGTGGTGTGGTAGTGTGTGTTGAGCTGGTGCAAGTAGATCAGATACAGCAGTGCTGCTGGAGTTTTAAACACAGTCCGCTTATGTTTCTGCACAGTTTGTGTTGGTCATCCTCAAGTCCTTCATCAGTGGTCACAGGACACTGCAAGCAGGACGCTGTTGGCTTGGTGTTTTTGGCAGTGACACTGAGGTGTTTAAAAGCATCACTGCTGTGTCTGATCCACTCATATCAGCGCAACAGACACTGAGCTGAGAATGATCCACCACCCAAATAATACCTGCTCTGTGGTGGTCCTGTGGGGGTCCTGACCTCTGAAGAACAGCTTAAAAGCAGGCTAATAAATTTTGCGAAGAAACAGACGGACTACAGTCTGTAACTGTAGAACTACAAAGTGCTTCTGTATGCTAAGTAGAGCTGATAAAATGGACAAAGCTTAGATTCGAGGAGGGAGCCTTTTGTCCACTTTTATAGTCAGAAACCACATAAGCAAGTCTGTTTGAGATTACCTAACAACTCACTTTGAGGCAAGTGACTATTTAACCATACAGTTTGCGTTGTGCTAATTAATAGGGTATCAACTTTCATTACCTGTTAGCTACATTAGCCTTGGTAGCATCAGTGCTACACTAAAGACGCAAAGATCTCAACTGATCGACAACATTAGGCGAAAGAAGAGAATTGTGTCAGTTTGATTTTCTTTCCCCCAAACCACTTCTTTAAGCCTGTGTTAGGGTTCTAAGTGTAGCCTCAAGACCTTTTTAAAGTATACAGTATACTTTTAATGTAACTCCCCTCAGCTATCGGATCGTTATCTCCTGGGAAGTCCTTCCTCTGTGTTTTCCAAATCTTTCACCATCTTCTCAAACCATTTTCTGTTTCTATATCAGCCATTCTGGAGTATTGAGTCAAGCACACTAATCTGTGTTGAATAATCCCCACATTCACAGTCCATTTCCCTCTCCCGGCCTTTTCCCTCACCATCATTCCATCACATCTGTACAGCCGCTGCTTCAGAGCGGCGAGGACTCTGGAGTGCTTTCCATATCTCTGTGCTCTGACTGCCCTGTCTCAGTCTGATAGCCAGCTCTGTCTGTCATTCTGCCTCCACGCTGAGTGTGTGCAGTGGGCAGATAACCCGCCCACAGGGGCGCTCAGTGAGATATACGGGCCCAAAGTGAGAAGCGTCTTTGTGTTGTACATGTCAAAGATTAATATGTGCTATTAGTGAGCCTGTGTTTTTGTGTGTGGGTAGGGAGATTCATTGAGGTGGGGTGGGGTGGTGTGGTGGGGGGCTGTGTGTAACAGCTGTATGCTCTCCGCCGCCATCTGGAGAGCAAATGGTGGAACAGCGAGAGCATCTTTATACACAGTGTTACAGCCTCACCAGGTGGCTAACTAGAGAATAAGCTTCAAATGCAGACTGAGCTTATTCCTGTTAGCTATGGGCTTGAGGAAACAGAGATCTGTGACTTGAGGTCTGACTGAGACTGTGCGCTAGCTAATGTTTGCATTCACTTGAAGTTGACTGTGTGCAGTTCCATTTGTGGTGACAATGGTTTTCATTCATTTCTATGGCAATTTCTATCGTGCCGAACCGGTTGCCATATGTTCAGTGACGTTCTCGACATTGTGCTTGTATATGTGTCTGTGAATGGAAAGACTTGTCATTAACATTAACTGCCAAGGTATGTTTGTCTTACAGGAGTCCTCGGACAGCAGCAACACCACAATCGAGGACGAGGATGTTAAAGGTATGTAGTATCTGTCTGCATGCATACTCTAATCACTGGTAATACCTAACAGTGCTGGTAATAATGATTCTTCCTGGCAGAGCTGGTCAACGTCAAGCAAATAAGAACATTGTAACTGGTCACTGGTAGCTTTTACATTGCTTGCTTTTTTGGATGAAATATTATTTGAAAGTTTTATAACCCAGTTAACTGTCTATAGCAATGTTATGACTGTATTTTCTCATCTGCGTTTTTGATGATTTTGCCCAAAAAAAGCCTTTAACTGGACCAGTTTACATGTTGGCATGGGTGATCTGGCAAAAATATAACATTGCGATACTTAAAGACATTTTCATGATACACAAAATGCATTGGAAGTATTTTGTTTTTTAGAGGTTTGATAAGTTGAAAGAGACAAAAAACAACCAGCAGTGCTACATTCAAAGAACATTGTCAAAAGCTATGAATACAGTGATTTCCATGTAATGCTACACATACTGTGCTGCACTAAATCCAATTCAGCAGGACTAATTCTGCTCTGTTTGTAATAAAACATGCAGTTCATCCTGTGAAAATTTTCATGCAGATTAGCACAGTTGTACACAGTCGTATGCAAGTTTGAACACTAAAGGTCAAATTACACGTGTTTTTCAAAGTGAAAATAAGTTAACACATGCTCTATAGGACACAAACCTAAATTGCATTTTTCTGCAAATTTTAGTGTACAAAGTCTGCTTATGTGCTGAGTTTAACTCATTGGAAAAACATAAATCATAACATGAATAAACATGTGCCATAACTTTGGCACAGGCCACATTTTATGTTTTCTCCCTTTCAATATTCGTCCTTACACATATAATTGAAAATTTTGGATTAAAATGTGCAAAAGCGTGTTCTTAATTTTTGCATACGACTGTAAATCTCATCAGCATGACACTGAATATGACCCGGCCAGATGAGACCAAGAAGTCCAAAAACTATAAGCTGGCATTAACTTCATAGTCCATTACAATTGTAGGTTTTTTGCTCTAAACTAGAAAGCTGAAAATGGTATATAAAGGGCTATTAAACTTGGATGCCTCTTCCGGTTTTAATGCAGAAGCTTAGCTAAATCTCTTTTTTTTTCTGTCCTGGGAGAGACAGTCAGGAACACTGCAAGGGCACCTTGAATGTAGTATTTTTAACTTTGGAAACTAAGAAAGGCAGATGTGAGATGTGGGCTATGAGTGGTGGGTGATGAGCATACTTGTGTTTGGATATGTGCACATGGTTAATGTTCTAAGTGAATGTGTGTTTTTTTATATTCTAACACTGTGTCCCTCTTCAGAAGTGTCAGGGGAGCTAGAATGGGGTTGTAATGTAGACCAGTCACCAGTGTTTCTGTGGCACGCGTGACATGACCTCAATACCAGACCGCTGTGGTTTTGTTACATGGTGTGCCCAGATCACCCATACCGTCTTGATTCTCTCCGGACCCCCCACCACCCCTCCCTTCTGACGTCTCCACCCCACTGTCCTCCTTTTTTCAGTGCTGTCTTTCTGTCTCTTCCCACCTTCGCTCTTCCCTGCCACTCACTAGGAAAAAGCCTAGATAGCGGCTCGTTTAAGGCCGCCTCAGAGTCCAGCCAGTCTCCTCCAGGCCCTGCCCCGGCCATCTTCTGTAAGTCATCAGTGCATCTCTCCTCTGCGTCAGCTCCGTTTGGCTTGGCTCGTCACTCCTTGCACAGCATCTCTACTTCTGTACTAACCTGTTTTGGCTTGAGGAATGTAACAACAGTGTCTTTTAGCATATTTCTCTGCCTATTGAGTATTATTTGTGTTTGCATATGAACAGAAGGATCAGCCTATTTATACTCTAGTGGATGCTGCATTGAGTTTGCTGTCAGTTGGATGCTTGTACATCATTGGTTCCCGGTATTGATCCTGGGTTTCCAATTTGCCATATAAAACACCTGATCCAGCTTACCTGTTGAGTTAGATTAAGTGACTTAGGCCAAGAAATACTGGGTCCCTGGGAGTGGAGTTGAGAACCACTGAGCAGGTATTCCAGGACCAGGGTTGAGAACCACTGTGCTAGGTGAGCATCGGAGGATTAAGGTCTAACAGCACTCCTCCTCAAGCACTACCAGGTCCTTTACTGAGAGCTAGATAAGAATTTTCCACTGAGTCGTCACAGAAGAAGAGCACATGTGCTTTGCACTAAGCCTGCTAGAAGGTGAGTTTGTTAACCAGCCGCTGTCAGAGAGCAGGCTTATGAGGCCTGAGCTGTTTCAGTGCTCCATTTCTGCACGGTGAGACTAAACCCAAACAGGCTTCTCCTGCACACTCAGAGCGATGATCCAACTCTGCTTTTGTGTTGCCTCCTTGTGGAAGCACTTAGAATGGCATGTATTTTGACCTTTTACTCAGGTGTCCAGCTTTGGTCCTGAAGGACCAGTATTCACCAATTTCTGGTGATTTCCCAGTTCAAAACCTATGTTATGTTTCAAAGATTAGTACATGTTTGTGCAGGGCAGTCACCAAATTGTGCAACACCCAGGCCCTCCAGGTCCAGAATTGGACACCCGTTTTGGTTTTAATTGCATGGGGATCACTCAGTCAGCACCCCACTCAGCATGTGATGAATAACTGATCCCTATTAAAGTTTCTCTGCTGTCCTTCTCCCTCTGGCCTGGTTCTGGCGTTTATTTTTGTCCTTATCCCGTACTCGCCCGTGCCCGCAGCCTCCAAGCTGACGGACATCCTGGGCTGTGTACGCAGGGGCTCCGGACCCACCGCCCCGCCCAACACTGAAGGAGGAGCCCCATCTGTTCCTTCTCCTCCACACACTCCTGCCATTCAGAGTGAGTAGAGCTCCCCACATTTGGCCCAGTGCTACTCACGGGAGTGTACGATATTGCACCCACAGTGAATAGTAATGGACGTGGTTATGCAGATATATGGATATCTGAACTAATTAAGGATTCACTCAATTTATTTAATGTAAAAAATTTTATATTTACTTAATCATTCAAAAAAGGCATCTGTAGTTTGCAATAAAAGTGAGAATATTTAGACAAACGTACAACTAATATTGCATCTGACGTTAAGCAAAAGTATATGGAGACAAAAAGAAGACATGTTTGTACAGCAGAAATTTCTGATATTTCAGGTATTCAAATGCTCTTCGTTAAAAGTGTGAAGAGCAAAAATGCCTATTTTTAGATGTGATCCAGCTGTCAAAAATGCAGTTTACCCACAGGAGCCCCCTGAGACAGCATTCTTTTAGGAAATTTTTAGGAAATAAATAAAATATTCCCACATCCGTCCTGTCCTCATTTGTGTTTCTCTTTTTTTTCTTTTCCATAACTGTCCTACTGTCTGTGTTGCGCTGTGTCCGTTTCCACATGTTCATCCAATGTCCCTTATGGCCGGGCGGTGCTGTGGGACGCCCCTCCGCCCTTTTACCCTTTTCAGCTCGCTTGACCAATCTGGTGAGCAGCATGGGCCGTGCCCCGGTCCCTTCGCAGCCTGAGCCGGAGACGGCCCCCGCACCCCCTTCCCAACCCTCCTCCCCTCCGATCCCGCCACGCTCCAACCCTTCCCTCTCCGTTCGGAGTGAGTACTGCATGGCGTGTGGAAGAGCAGCATCTCCTCAGCATTCCTCAGCATCTCCCTGTGCTTCTAACTTTTCAGTGAATTTCTGAAGTGGTGCAGAAGTTGTGGACGCTCCTAGATAGCAACACAGTGCCCGCTTAGAGCAATGTTTTGAAAAAAAAATACATTTGAACAATATTCGCCTTAAAACCCCAAAAGAATTGTCAATCAGCAAGACGTCTGTTTTCGAAGTTGCTTTCTTAGTTTTGCACTGGAGCTATGCGGCTAATGTAGCTAGCAAGTAATACACGCTCATAGCCCTACTATAAGCATTGCCCCAGGGTAAAAGAAGCAAAAATTGGACAAAACATTTCTTGGCTGATTGACTACAATAGGGATAAAGGGAAACTTATGTAAATTTGACATTTTCGCCTTTCAATTTTTCAACATTTCTGCAGAATTCAGCTTTTGATATTGAATAAACAGTATGCAGAATCATTCAGGGTACTGCATATCCTACCTACTCAGATTTCTTTACAGTGGTGATGATTGGGACCAGGGGTTGCAATGTCTACAAAACAAATATAGCCATTTTATGTACTATCTAAAACAACCAGTGAACCTACGTGTGTCTGAGTTTCATATATAATGGTACTGATGGTAAAAAAGTGGTAAAAATCTGAAAAAAGGTTTTCTTTGGGGAAACACTCTGCATGTACCACTCAGTCAAGAAGGGATTTAAAAATATGTTTTGCCCAAAACCTTCTCGAAACTATCATCAAACTGTCTCAGGCATTAAACTTTTTGGATGTTAGGTTATGATCATCACCACTGTGAGCAATTCTGACTCAGTAAGTTCCTTTACGATAGTGCATTTCACATCAGACCACTCTGAATGACTTTGTTTACATCTTAACCATTTAGTTATGCAGAAATTTAGAAAAATTGGAAACAACCTTTAAATGTTTCAGTGGCTGGGCTTTTGATGTGCAACATGTAACTTTGCTACTTGGAACAGACCTGCTCTTGGTCTAAGGTTAGCCTTGGGTTTTTCTAGTGATAAAGGAGAGCTAAAAGGCAGTAGGCCTCACAGCTAAGGCTGCTGAGGCATTCAACCTGCCCTGCTGTGCCAGCTAGAAGGAGAGAAAGAGAAGGACGTGTGGAGGCAGCGGGCCGCTAAGCTCCCCTGCTGCGGAAGAGGAAACTACAGAGGGAGGGAGGAAGAGAGAGAGAGAGAGAGAGAGAGAGAGTGAGTGCAAGAGAGGAAGGCCAGCAGTAAGCCTTATCTGAAGGACGGGAATAGCACATTGAGCTGTGCCAGCTTCAAACTCTGAGCAAAGAGGAAGAGAAACTCAGAACGTGAGAGAGAATGCACTCTATGAATGAGGGCTATGAACAAGAAAGTGCACAGAGCCATTGAGATTGTAGTGGAAGGGTTTTGTTGACTGAATTTGAACTTCGTAGACATTCTTGAGCGGCTCATCGATTGGTAGGCTGTGTGTACTCTTTGTGTCTTAAAATGTGACTTGAGTGGGAGACAGAGGTGTGAGGAGAGAGAGAGGGGGATGAGCCAAAGGATAAGTGGTTGGATCGAGCACCACAAGTGAGATGCAGTCAGGTGAGTCCACAAAAAAGTCATCCTTTCCAACCCTCCATTTGAAGTACTCCCAAGTGGCAGAGGCTGAGGATTTACTATTTCTGATCAGCGTTTCTTCAGAGGGATTGGAACAGCTGTGCTTATGTGCTCAGTAGGGACGGACGACTCAATACTGCAGATTCAGTGCTCCTGGTCCTGATGTGTCAAGCATTATTGACATTTGTTTTGATGCAATTTCATGTGTAATTGGTACTGAATAAGGAAATAATTGCAGCAAATAAATGTATGACAGGGACAAACATGCAGGTATTATCCAGGATTATAGTAATAAAACTTATGTTAGTGCTTTTTAAATTATTTAATACATGTAACTTGTTCAGAAGCACGTGTTATTTCTTGACATACTTTTGTACTATGATAGGTCAATGAAGGGGCATATAGGCTTACTGGCCAATGTACTTAAGACTAATTGAATGCAAAGGCGTTCAATAAAAACACATTACTGATGTTTACATTTGCTAGTGTTAATTGTAGAAATTATAAGAAGTCCTGTATTGGTGAGGGTACTGTATACGTACATTGTATGCCTAAAACAGCAAGATTAATCTAATGAGACAGAAAATATGGATTTATAGTTCTCTTGAGTTTTATATGCCTCAGAATCTGATGGGACAGAAAACCAGTGGTATTGCCACATACCCGGAAATCACATCCATCTCAAAAGGAACCTCAAGTCAGCTCTCTGCACCTGGCATTTCTGTGGATTGCTTTAAGGAATCATGTAGCTTCTGTTGTCTCTGCTGTAATGATGCAGTTGATTAAGGTGACCATTTGATGTTGACGGGCAGGCATGTGCACAGATAGACTCCAGGGGAAGCTCGAGCCCCTGTCTTTCTGCCCATAGACGTTACATGTGCTCTCTTGGTACTTGGCATGTGTAATAATTGGGTTTTATACTGCCTTCGTCAAGACTCATTTCAGTGAGGCACATCGCAGGAGTAGAGCTAGTGGGTCGGTTTTGGGTCCCAGGAGCTTCATTGCTCTTGTACACTCCCTCTAGTGTAGTTCTGACCACCTGTGGAGCTTTCACCTCAAAAACTCAGGTCACCAGAGTGCTTTAAATTGTCACATTGCGTAATGTGGTTATTTTGAACAACCAAACAAGCTTGCTAAAGCACATTTTTTGGGATGTATGTATATGTGGAGCTCTTGAGTAGTTGTAACATACTGGTTCTTACCAATTTAGCAGTGTAGTAGTGCTACTATTTTTGGCTGCCTTTGGAAAAACGGTTTTTCTCTGAAACTTGATTGGATTGTCTCTGATGTGAGTGTCTGCAAAATCAAATGAAGTTTAACTCGCATTCAGCATGCAGTTCTTTTGCATGAGCCCCTGCCCCCTTAAATGTGCACAGGCCTGTTGTCGGGGACACATCAGGGCGCCTAAGCGTTCACACTACCAATGTTATGTGGTCCCTGTATGTATCCCTGACCACATTCAAATGTGGTTTGAGTGATCGGATCACAATGCGTCTTTAAGACAAACTGGACCTCTTTTCCACCTGTAGTTAACGCTGTCCACTTTTGATCAAATCACCCAAGATGTGTGTTAAAGTAAGGTGTGAATGTAATGAAAGCTAAGGGCACGAGGCTTTGTGAAAGATTGTAGCGCTTGAAACTTATAATCCGATTTATTGTCCTTCTCTGCTACAAAGATATTATTTAAGAAAGCTTTTCTGTGCATTTTCGTCTAGAAATGCTTCAAACAAATGAGAAAAATACTATAGGCTTATGCTTACAGTTTCCAGTGTGTTGTTTCAACAAGTAAACACGTTAATGAATATGCTGCTTATAGACTTCTTGAGCACATTAATGAGTGTTTCTGTTGTGCATTATGAGTTCCTTTGGCAAACATGCAGTGCTTGAATGGTGAAAATGCCTGGAGCTGGTGTTTGGGTGTTTGGCCTTTGCCCTGTGTGACTCTGTGGGTGTTGTGTGTTTTGTGTGTTCTCTGTCCAGCTCGCAAACAGGAGATCATTAAGATCACGGAGCAGCTCATTGAGGCTGTGAACAATGGAGACTTCGAGGCCTATGCGTGAGTCACTGCCTCTTACCCCCTCAGCACTGAATACAACACATTGAAAGCCTGTTCTGGGCTGAGATTGAGTCATATGCAGATCAAAATGTGCAATAATGGTATTCGTTACCAGTGCTGGTTGGGTGGCCGCAGTAATGCGTAAACAACGCTGTTTTGTAACAGGAAGATTTGCGATCCTGGGCTGACTTCCTTTGAACCCGAGGCATTGGGTAACCTGGTAGAGGGGATGGACTTCCACCGGTTCTACTTTGAGAACTGTAAGTGTAAGCAAGAAGCATTCAACTGAAAAACAGTTGTGAAAAAAGATAAGCCGGAAGCGATGACCTGTTTCTGATGGTCATGTCTGCTTGTAGGTTCTTGTGTAGAGTTGAGAAACTCACACTAACTATGACTACACTCACTGTCCACTTCATTACAGACTCCAACCTTGTGTACTAGACAGTACTTACAAGACTTTTTCACGATACATATAACGCATCACAATATTTTTCTGAGGTTTGAGAAGCTGGAACAGAAAAAATGCCCCATTAGTGGCACATTTTAACAGTATTACGAAATTTCAATATAATATTTCAATATAATGTTCCCTGTTTTACATACTGCAATTTAAAATTAAACAGGCATAATTATGCTCTCTTTACAGCAGTTGTTCATTGTTTTTAGAGTGCTCATCCACAACATGCTCAGAAAAAACATTCTGTGATGTAATGTGACATAATTTATCGCAATAACAATAAATAGTGCCGAGTACTTTGAGGTCCATTTACCTTATAGGTCCTCTATACAGGTGTACAAGTACAGATTGTAATTTATTTGTCATCATGCACAATTGACCTTTCCATGTTCCACCGACAAACGTGAGGTGAGATTTTTGTTAATGTTCTGTAAAGCTTGTCCAGCCTAGCAACAGTGTCTACAGAAGAACACCTTTGTTTGTGGAGCAGGTAGGACAGTTCATCAGCTACACTGCACCACATTCATCATTGGTCAGTTTCTAACCATAGGACCGCTTTTGGAATGTATCAGACACACTAGACATCACTGTCACTGCTAGGTTGAGAGTGGTCAGCCACTCAAAAATATACAAACAAGAGAAGCTCTGTGGTCAGAAACTGACCACTGATGAGGGGCTAGAGCCCATGTGTCAGACACAAGGCCCGCTGGCCAAGTCAGGCCCGTGACACGGTCCTATTCGGCCTGCGAAATTATTTGAATTTTCGATTCTTATTATCCCATCTCACCCTGAGATGCACTACAGTCCCCAGCATGCACTGCAACATAGAAAAGATGCCTGGTGTCTAGTTCAAGCAAATAGGCAGTTTAAAAAAACTACCTAAAACATACGTACATACATACATCATCTAAACCGCTTATCCTTCTGGGTCGCGGTGGGGTGCTGGAGCCTATACCCAGCTGTCATTGGGCGGAAGGCAGGATACACCCTGGACAGGTCGCCAGTCCATCGCAGGGCATACCTAAAACAATTTATTTTTATTTAGAATTTTTTTTGAATAAGTATTCAATGCCTTTTTTGCTGTTGCAGTTTTGGCATATTTTGAATAAACAAATAAAATAAAAACACAGTTGGCCCACAGATTTGCTGAGATTTTTTAATATGGCCTTGGGCTAGAGGATGGCTAACTCAGATTCTACATCAGCACATGGGCTGCAGTAGGGATGGGCATTACGGCAAAAATGTTATATCACAATATTTCAAGACATTTTGATGATACACAGTATGCCTCACGATATTGTTTTTCTGAGATTTGATCATTTGGAACAGACAAAACAGAACCTGTAGCACCACATATAAAACACACAGTGTTTCACATACTTCACTGTACTAAATCCAAATATGGATTAATTATGCTCTCTTTTTAATGAAGCATGCATTTGGTCAGTGTTCTTGTAAGTACCGATAATATCCACAATATGTTCAAGCATATGGTGACATAATTTATCACTATAACGATAAAGTATTGTCATACTGCCCACTGCTAGGCTACAGTCTCTAACTGTACACTAACAAGGTGGAGCCACAAGATAGGGTTTTTTTTTTTAATAAAGTGGCCAGTGACTATATTTTCTACATTAATCCATCAAAATTTTGATTTTCTGTAACTTTAATCCTTAATGGATTAACTTTAATTTAGTTTCTGTAACTTCAATCCTTAATGGATTACTACTGTACTACCTAAATAACAGACTCTCTCTATTGTCCCCGTATCTCTACAGTGCTGTCTAAGAACAGTAAGCCCATTCACACCACCATCCTGAACCCTCACGTGCACCTGATCGGCGAGGATGCCGCCTGCATCGCCTACATCCGCCTCACGCAGTTTGTGGACAGCCAGGGCCGGCCGCGCAGCAGCCAGTCAGAGGAGACGCGTGTGTGGCATCGTCGCGACTCTAAATGGCAGAATGTGCACTTCCACTGCTCAGGCGCGCCTGCCGCCCCACTCCAGTGAAGGTAACACACATGTATAAATGCAATGCATACTCCCACTCCACAGCACTCCATCTGCAGTGTTATAAGCTTGCTGATTTATATTTAGTTCTGGTGTTGTTTTGAGTAAGTAGGTTATGCCCTGATCAATTATTTTTCACCTTTTATGCTCCGAGTTATTTAGTACTGAGTGTAAATGTATTATAGTGTATAAAGTGTACGTAGTACATGCGCTGTATATATATATTGTATATATAGGTGCGGTATATATTGAATATATAGTGTACAGATGGCCTATATAGCATATAGTGTAACACTTGCTCTAAGCTTTGAGTGCACTTTTACATATAATAGCACATGCAAAAATTTTATATGTGGCTGATTTAACCAAGTTTTGCAGAGGGGCTACTACTACCCGCAGTTGAAAATACTGAAATTGCATATGTTACAAGGGCAGGTATTACAAGTTTTGGGTTGTTTTTATTTTCTATCTTCAAATAGTTCCATAGTGCAGACATTTCAAACTGCTTATAAACTTCTAAAAATAAGCCACTCTCATCTCTACCTGACCTCTGAGCAATGGCAATCCATGACTATTAGAGCTAGGCTTTCAGTTCGGGCAATAAATGTCACAAAACAAGAAAAAATACTTCTATAATAAAGCTCATTTCTGCTAGCACCCCGGTGGGGTTTCAGATAGCGTATCAACTCTAAGATAAGACTGATGGGCTTCTATTGGCCGTTCTAGATTAAACACAGACATGTGAAGCTAGCAAGAGAAATTGATTGTGGTTTATTTGAAACTTGTAATATATTGTTTACCTCTTATGTTGACATTTTACAGTGACTTAGTAAGGAATCTAGGCATAGAGCTGCTGCTGCTGCTGTTTTCTAACACTTAACAGAAACCTGGATAGGGGGCTCCCACGTGGCGAGCGTTTGGCCCTATCATCAGGAGATCGCGAGTTCGATCCCTGGTGATGCTACAGCCATCCGTAGTCAGGAGTCCAAGAGAGCACAATTGGCCTCGCTCCCCCTTTAATTAGCTCAGATCATTATAAGATGTTTTAATTAGCTCAGATCATTAAAAGATGTTTTAATTAGCTCAGATACTAAACTCCTCTGTTTTTAGTGTTTTTATGATGTTCAGGTGTGTGTTGTGTCGTGTCGCAGAGTGGGACCGGGCAGGACGTCTTTCGACAAGAGTGCTCTTGCAGAGGAGAAAGGAGAGGGAGGATGGGACGGCAGGAAGGTGTCCAGCGTTGGAGAGCTCAGGATCTTCCAGCCTTCCAGCTCTGCCACACAGCCGTCTACGCCTGCATGCAAACCTACACCTGTCTCTCCACCTACTGGGCTGCTCTCCACTACTGCATCCTTCCCCACCCCTGCCACTGCTATCGCACCCTGCGGGATTCGCTCCAACACAGGCCAAACACAACACCAGTACACGAAACAAACCACACCACGCCACTATATACTGCAGCTTACCGTGTCTATGCCAAGATTCACCCAAGTGATTGACGACACACATATCAGTCCCAGAGAGTGAGCACAGACTCTAGCTAACTGATAACTGGTGTTCTAGCCTGCGCAAATGCCTTCTCTCCTACAGCCCCCCTCTTCCCTCCTCACGCACTCCACTCTCGTCTCCATTGGCCTTATGCCCTACGTGCCCAGGCACTCCTAACTATAATAGATCATGTTTTAATGAAGTACTATATTGGTATTATTATTATTATTACTATTATTATTATTATCATTATTATTCCCATGGTTACTACTTTTATTATTACTATTTGTCATTTTAAGTATTGCTGTTGTTCTGTTGAGGCTGTATATTTAATAGTCAAATTATTGATGCCAGTTGTACATGGATTTGAACCGTTTTTTTCCTGGAAGCATGGATTTTTAGTATTATTCAGTGGGGGTTTTATTTGTTTATTTGAGTAAGATGAAGTCTACTTTTGGCAGTATTGTGCAGGTATAAGTGTGGCTACTCATTACTGTACACACAACATGAGAGGACGACACAGTTCAGGCAGAAGCTAAGGGTCTTGGTCTAAATGTCTGACGTTTACACGTTACAGAGATGTAGTGAAACTAATTATGTATCGTCTGTGTTTTCCTCTGACTTGGGATCATTGTCGGTCTGGTGAGGAATCCTTTTGTGAAGGTTTCTTAGTCCCATATAAACGGTTTATAAGAAGGATTTTTCATTTAATGCGAATTACTTGGAAGACTGTCAGACTTTAACTTGTAACTTATTGCACTGATTATTAAAGTAGTCATTTTGAGGTATTTTGGAAGTCAAGAAAGAAGAACGACATGAGTTGTGTGAGCTGCAGTTAACTGCCTAAAGGTTACGTTGAGATAATCTAGAGAAAGAAGATTTTAGAGATTGTATAGAGATATTAAGGCACAAAGTTCAGTACCCTGTGGATTTACATAGTCAGGTGTACAGTTTAAGGTAAAGAGAGTCTATGTATTATATATAAATCTAGTCATCCACGTTAACTCATGCACCTTTTAACCTTCACCCTTTTGGTGGTGTTTGTTTTTGTCTGTATATGCAGGGTTTTTTAGATTTTTATATATTATTTATGCGGTGGTAAGACTTTCTCGTCACCGTTCTATCACGAGTCCTTTTCGGAGGTGCGCGTGATGGGGACGTACTTTGCGGGTGTCTCGTTGATATGCCAACGAACAGTCTTCTGTTGACCTCTTGAATGTGAAAGCATAATTCTAAGTTAAAGGGAAGCCTCACTGCTCCCACAGTACGCAGAGGAACGATTTAGCAGCTTTTTACACCCTGAATCGTTTGAATGAGTTTGGCGAGAGTCAGTTTGATGCTCTCAAAGACTTCACATAGTTTTTGTTCTCAAAACGTTAAGGAAATTCACTGAACGACTGCTGTTCACATTTTCGTTTTCATTTAATTTATTCGATTCCTTGTTTATTTCACTCTGAAATGTGAATCTAGCTTTTTTGTAATGTCACTGAACCCCACGCTTCACTCCGGGGGGAGGGCGAAACCTCTTTGTACATGGTGAACAGTGTCAGAGCTCTCCCCTCCACGACAGCAGTCCAAGCAGCATGTCAGCATACTCTACTCTAGTGTTGTTCTTTCTTTCCTCTGTGTGTTTAGTATTGCAAGGAATCATTGAAAACTATGGCAGATTTAACTTTTAACACAAATAAGTATCTTGTAAAACTGCTATGTAGTGCTAACATACTATAGGTGGCAATTACTTGCATGAACTTCGAACCTAAATTTTTGGTGATTTGCATTTCATTCTTGGTTTATTTTTTACTGAATGCTGGTGACCTATGCTCCGCTAACAATTTTCAGAGCTTTGTAAGTGCATATAACTATTTTTGTCTCAAGATGATGATGATAATGATGATGATTATGATGATTATGACTATCACGGTCGAAAAATATATATGTAATGATGATGATTGTATAGCATGCTTTTGTACAGGGTTTCGTTGTTGTCTGAGCAGTGTTGGTTGATCCTAAGTGAAGTTTGCCATGAGGTTTCTACAAAAGTGGCTGCTGTTTCTCCAGTCAGTTCAGGCTATCAGACTTTGCATTTAGAATAAATCGGGTAGAGATGACATGATACCACTTTGTCTTTTCCGATATTAAGTATTGGCTGATACCAATTCGATACTTTTTCTCTAAAAGCTATAAAGTGAGCTATTTTTAATTTATATCACTTAAGATGAATATCTAAAAGTATAGAAACTACTCAAACACTATCCCCCAGATTAACAACATGACGCCACACAGTGTGAAGATGTGCTATTTACTCAATTCAAGAAATTAATCTTAAAATTTACATTCTCAACAAATTAACTCACTCTGTACTTTTCAATTTGAGTGATAAACAGGGAATCTGTTGGTCATTATAAAGCCATGTTCAGGAGTCAGCACAAGGGGGAGTTGTTAGCAACCAATTGCTTTATGTGCATCATTGAAAGAGAGGAAACCCACACCAACAGGAGCTCATTAATACATATATGTTTGTAGTTAAGTTAAATGATAGCTATTAGAAATTGCATGTATATGATTACTCAATTAATCATCAAAGTAATCACTAGAACACTCGATTATTAATATAATCGATAGCGACAGGTCTAGATTTGTTACAGGGTTGGTAAATATAGCTGCTGTCGGGACAAAACCTTGTATCTCCATTTTTGTCATTTTTCATTTTGTGACACAATTTGAAAAAAATTGTTGCCCATTAGGTTGTGTCAAAATTTCATGATGAACAGACCAACAGAAATGGTCCAAAATTACTTGGAAAAATACATTTCTTCATTTACTTCCATTAAAAGTCAAGAATGTTTTTCCTCGTCCTGTAAAGGTACCTTTTTGGAGATATAAATTTTTGTTCCAACAGCAGCGATATGCTGATATCAGCCTGACACCAATACCTGGTACAGGATCAATGCCATCTCTGAGATTGGGCTTTGGCTGACCATCACTAAACATCATTTTTGAATGTTGGTTTCTTTAGTATATGTGGTGTTGGGCAGAGAAGGGACAGTAGCTTGGCTGAAGTTTGGCTCTGCTTTGCTGAAGTGCGCTAATTTGAAAACTGCCCTTTTGATGGTGCTGTCTACCACACATAGAATGAATCATCCTGTTTGCCAGTATTTTATAAGCCTCAAGAAATGTGTCAAACACAATGTCCTGTTGCTGAGATTACTCAAGGTACTTTCCTATTAAAATTCCACCTACTGGAACTGGTAGCCAGTCAACACGAGTAAAGCAGAAGGAATGGGTGATGTAACCTCGTGGCCAATAACGGTCTGTATGTATGTGTGTAAGTGTGGATGAACATTGCTGCGTTCCACTTCTAGTGACACCTTGCTGCTCTTTCAACATCAAGCCAATAGCTATTTGTAGTGTTTCCTCCTCAACTCCTCTTTTCCCCCTCTTTTGGTTCAATTTGATCCTTTTTTGATTTCCACGACGCTGAGCCTTCTCGAGTTCTCGTTTCAGGTCTCATTTTAGGAGGATATTTGTATATAATCTCTTAAACGTAAAACGAGATTATGTGAGTCCTATATGATTATTAGAAAAATTAGTTTACAATGAGTCCCATGTTTCTCTTGATTATTCTTATGATTATTCTTATCTGTTCTTCCAATGTTCCCTCTTGCTCTCTCTCTTTCTCTCTCTCTCTCCCCTATAACTTAAGGAAATGTGTTAAGATGTTATCAATATGTTACCAATAAAAGGAAAAATGTCAACATGAACTGAGCTTCTTTTATGCTTTTTTAAGGTAGCAGGTGTTTTGTTGTGTTCAGCTGTAACCATTCAGTTCTTTTTTTCAGTGCATTGTTTTGAATTTCTCACAATGCAACTGCATCAATTGTAGCAGAAAAAAAAATTTAATAATTTGCATCAGCAGAGTTTAAATACTACAGATCGAATGAAGCGCCATTTTACAAATCAAACTTGTTTGAACATATACAGTACTGGGTCTGTCCACTCTTTCCCTTTTTTAACAGTTTCCTTTCTTTTCAGTAGACTTGCTTTCAGGTTTTAAAATAATCTGCAGGGACATTTTTCTAAATCTCTGAACCAAAGTTCAGTTTTAGAAGTTGGTTGTGTTTTTTGCTGCTTATGATCCAACTAATCCCAAACACATTAAATTATGTTGAAGTCTGGACTCTGGGGTGGTCTGTCCATTGTTCTGAGATCACCAGCAGCTTCTTTGTTTTGCAAATTTTCTTCTTTTTTTCTGTTTCCTTTTCTCAGTGAGGCTTCTTAACAGCTACACATCCTTTCAGACTCATAGTGCTGAGTTGTCTTCTCACAGTGGAAGGATGGACAGAAACATCTGTGATTTTTTTCAGATCTGAAGCAGCTTGATTTTCTCCTCTCTCTCAAAGATAAAAGTTTTAAGTGCTGTTTATCTGATGAGGATAGTTTTGGTGGTCTACTAGGTCTTGCATGGTTGTTAGTACTTATTTTCTTTGTACTTTCTTTAACTTTCCCCTCCCTTATGTAAGTGGATTGTCTTCTATCTTATTTGATGAAATAAATTACTTAATAGCTGTTTTGACTGAGTATATATAAGTAAAATACATATATTTATGAAGTATATTTTTTATTTTATGCTAATAGCAGTCCTACCTTGGGGTAACTGGTCCAGGTGAATTGCACTGAATTTGTAGAGACAAGCTTAATTTGCTAGTATTGACATATTATTATCTGCTGCCTCTACATGATAAGAGTTAAGCTGAGTTTGTAGTCCATTTCAAAGGACGAAACCTGGACTGCCGAGGGCCGTCTACATTAATGATGATCTCATCACTTTTGTTTAGCAAGACCTCGCAAGGGTCTCGCCTGTGTTACCTGATCACATCAGTCAGCAGTTCACTGGAGGGTTTGTTTGCTTTTGAGCTTTTTAGGTCCATTAGCAATGAGGAAAGAGTGAACTGTAGAGTCAGCTTTTAGTGCTGAATTGTAGTTAATATCCACTAGTATTCTCCAGGCCGTAGGCTACTGATCATAAGTGAGCAACTGCCCTTCTTATCAGCTGTGACTGATAGCTTATGACCTATGTATGGTATTATATAGGGCCAATGCCATTACAGTCAATGTTCAAAAACATATTAAGGAAATGGAGAGCAAATATATCTGTTAATAAAGTAAGAGACACTTCATTTCACATCACAGGCATTCTGTTTTTTTCCTTTTGCTTTCCTCCAAATTTTGGGAAATGCCACCTATTTTTTCAAAATGTCTGCATATAGATACAAAGATTGGTTCATGCTGGTCTAGTGCTGGTCTGGTGCTGGTTTAGCTTGTCACCCAGCATGGTTAAGAAGGTTGACCAGCATACGAGCATCCAAAACACAACATATGCTGGTTTTGCTGGTAACCAGCAGTGCTGGTTGTTCTAGCAATGTAATTCAGTGTTTGCAGTATAAGCAGAGTCATTCAGGGTGGTTTGATGTGAAATAGGGTAGTTGTAGAAAAAGTTATTGGCTCTGATTTCTTTACAGTGGTGGTGAAAGGAACCAGAGGTTGCCATGTCTACAACACAAATATAGCCATTTGTTTACTATTCAACACCAGCAGTGAACCTACACGTGTCTTCTTAGTTTTTATATGTAATGTTTATGTAAAATAGTGATAAAGTAGAAAAAATTAGTTTTCTTTGGTGCCTATATTGCACCCTGCATGTACCTCTCCGCAAATGATACATTATAAAAAATACACAAAAGTATATTTAAGACCAAAACCTTATTGTACAGCTATTGTAAGACAATATCACAAACATCAGCATATTCAGAGCCCTTTCATATAATAGCTCACCGTGAGGCAGCTTTTAGAGGAAGTTTGGTTCGTATCACCACCTCTGAATTGGTGACTCTGTAATTCTGACTCTGTGAGTTTCTCCAAAAAGTAGCATTTCACATCAAACCACTCTGAATGGTTTTGTTTAAGAGTGTAACACAATTGACATTGCAATTTAGTCCTAGATTAGGCTTAAAGGGGAACTCCACCATTTTTTCAAAATTTCTACATGATTAAATTGTTAACATGTCAACAAAATCTTTCAGAGGGGGTTGGTGTAAAATGCTTTGTTTTAGAGAAACTTACCCTTTGCAGTGGTGGTGATGGGAACCAGACGTCTGAAGAGTTCAATGCTCCCTCACAGAAAGTTACTGCATGAATCGTTTATGAATTCTCAGCCTGATGTCTGAGATGTTGTTTTATGGTAGTTGTGTGATAAGGTTTTGGACTAAATGTGTCTTAATTCATTTAATCTAATATTTACATGTAGCGTGTTCAAGGTCCCCAAATAAATAGTCCCCAAAGAATCCTTACTTTTTATAACTGACCATTATTTTAACATCATCATCATTAAAAAAACAAACAAAAAAAAACAAAACACAGAAGACATGCATAGGTTCACTGGTGGTTTTGGATAGTAAATGAAATGACTGCATTGGTTCGTATCACCACCACTGTAAAGAAATGTGAGTTGGTAAGTTTCTCCACAAATGAACCATTTCACTTCAAATCACTTTGAATGACTCTGTTTATGTATCAACCACATTTTGAAAAAATTCATCCATGTGCATGAAACCTCGCCATAGAGTAGTTAACATAAAGAGGGTAAAAATGGCCTGTTAGACACATTCAGTACACATTAAAATCTAATAAACGCCATAACTTCCCCACATAGAGCAATTCCTGACTGTCTGAGGAGTCTCTCTCTCTCTCTCTCGCTCGCTCGCTCGCTCGCTGACGTAAACTGTAGTGACGCAGCGCTCGAGCCCTCCACACTTGAAACTTGGTTGGAGTGAGTTTACGGTGGAAGCCGGCTGAAAATTGTGTGTGCGGTGGTTTTATTTCAGTTTTTAAACGTTAACTTGCTCTGCCTGCTTCCCTCCGGCCGAAGGTAAGACTCCAGCTCTTTCCATGTCATTCTCGCGTATGTGCACCGCGCTGGTTAACGTTAGTTAACATAGTTAGCTGTCTGGCCAGCTATTTAGCTCTCCAGGCTAACTGCCGCTTTAGCTGCTGTTGGTCAGTGAGCTCGGCTTTGCTTCGTTCGCTGACTTTAAAATAACATCGGTAACGGATGACGGCTCCGCCTGCGTTACCGTTACCGTTACCGGCCGCTTTGCTGAGTGAGTAAAATACACCTGATGTAGCGAAAGTAAGGTTAACTCCTGTCTGACCAACATGTTTCTCACACAGCACATTCAGCACTTAGAAACGGTGAGAAAAACGGCGGCATCTTTATTTTAACATGTTCTTAAAAACTTAAAAGCCGATATTTAAACCAAAACAGCGGAACAGCCGTTGGGCGCAGTGAGAGCCCTGCGGAGACAAATAGCTACGAGGCACGTGACTCAAATAGTCATAAGGGGCACAAACGTAACTTTGGGGCGCTCCAACAGGAAAACATGATCTGTTTATGTACCAGAACACTTAAGAAGTGTACCCTGTTGAGTGAGCCCTGGGCACCAGATTACTAACACGCCATCTCATAATTCGGTACAGCACACAGATAGCACGCCTTCATGTTTCGCTGTGTTGCCGCAGAAAGACATGAATGACTTCAAACTTAACGGGGAACTCGTTGATGTAAACAAGGTGATTCAGAGTCGTTTGGTGTGAAATGATCCGTTCTAGAGAAACTTGCAGAGCAAGAATTGTTTACAGTGGTGGTGATAGGAACCAGACGTCTGAAGTGGCTAATGCCTCTAAAAGCTCCCTCACAGCGAGTTATTATATGAAATAGTTATGATCACTGATGTCTGAGGCAATGTTTTACAGTAGTTTGTGATAAAGTTTAAATATTTTAACCAATTTATTTTAATGTATTCGTGGTGGACGGGACATGCAGGGTGCTGAAAGGCAAAAAAATGGCAGCTTTAATTATGGAAAAACTGTAAAAATCTTTTAATTGTATGACTACCATTTCTCTGTGAAAGTGACCAGCTATAACATTCCCACAGTGTTGTATTTGTGTTTTACATTTTCAGACTTCACTGCAACTTTATGCATTCTTCTGAGGCTTTGAAGCGCAGAGAGCCCAGAGTGGCTATTGGACATACATTTTGAGGTTGGCTGGGTTAATTGGCACATATTTAAAATGGACAGTGGTCTGTCTGTCTGATTTATTTAATATCGGCAGGTTTCTGAAAGTGAGGAGAAAAAGACCAAGTGAGTCCAACATTAATTACCCGAACAGGTCACTTTTAACCGCAGCTTAAAAAGTCAGCAAAGTCCTATCTTGCATAAGGGGCCGACTTGGCAGCGCTACATGCTTTGCTGCAAGCTACATAATTTACAGATCTACAGGCAACAGAAAGTCAGGAACTCCAACCATAGCTGGGTTTCTATCACGCATTTTTATGCATATTTTAACATACTGAATAAAAATGACTTAATTGAAATGGCAAATATTGAAGAAAATCTTGATAAATTTGGATAAAAGTTTGTGCATTTGGTACTGATGCCCATTCGGAATCTGTCAAAATGTTCAAGCAAACTGAATAATTTGCTCTCATCTGATTTGCAGTTTCTCAACCCAGCTTTTACATGTGACCTGACGTCACAGATGCCAATAGTATCAGTAATGTTTCCATAATTGATGTGAACTGATAGCTTGGTTGAAAGCGACATGCATTTTGTTTTACTCCTGACATTACATACACATGTCTGTACATAGAATAGGACCCTTCATAAGATTGTATGTCAATCTGTTCTACTAAACTTTGACAGT